AAGTTATTGCTCGAAATTTCGAAAATCGGTAAAGAGAAAAGATGATTCTTTTTCCATTTTTTACCCATATACCAATTTTTATGATGCGGACTTTATAATAATAATAATGATCATTATTATTATTATTATTTCGAATATTAAATAAATAAATATTACTATTGAGTTATTTCAAAAGTTTGGTCCGTTTTCATAAGTCTACTTTGAAGTGTAATATATCAGTGTATCTCTCTCTCTCTATAGATTTATTGGACGTTGCTTCTCCTCCTATCTTGCTCGAAGCAATGCTGCTACCCCTTTTATGTCGAACTTTCTTCTATTATAAAAAACACTTGAACTTTTTCATCACGTCGTCCTCTGTTTGGGAGACCTTTTGATTTTTTTCTACGTATATATCGTGAAACTGCTTCACTTCTATTCCCACGTGGACATCCGGTCCACTCCGGCCTCCAACCGGCGTGAATGGGGATATGTATTATATAAATCCACTTTAGCACTCCCAAGTAGACATCCGGTCCACTCCGGCCTCCAACCGGCGTGAATGAGAGTGCTATGGGTGGCTCATCGATGTCCAACCACTGTCCTGAACATCTCCTATCGTCGTAGAAGATCTATTTTCATCACACGTGACGACTCAATCCAAAGAAGATTCGTTTTGGCTGCGCTAAAGCAAAGAAGAACAGATTTCGAAACGTGAAAATTTCTGTTGATCGTTCAAATTGTGGGGCACTCAGTTATCGAGCTTTCTGATCTTTCCGATACGTTTTAAACTATCAAAAACCGCAATAATCGTCCTAGATTACTGTTGCTCGACCACTTTGGGGCTCATCTTCGAGGCTAAAATATCTGAAACGAATTTTCGCAGACCTACGTCGAATAGTACCAAATGCCTGGGTAATTATTCGGGCTCTTTCGGCTGCGCTCGACTAGGGTCATCATAGCTTGTTGAATCTTCTTCTGAGACAGGATCTATCTCAACTACAGTGAAGTAGAAACATTCACATCTGACAAACCATGCCCAAAGCGGTTGAGTAGCATACCGTGCAGGGAAAACTACAAATATTTATCGGATATGATTCAAGGTTTGTTGTGGTATCAGCCAGAGAAGTAGTTAATTTCCAGCCGCACTTGCATTCAGATACAGTTGTAGAGTGATGTTGGAACAGGGGAATGTTTCGAATTTCAATTCAAAATATTTTCTTAGTACTATCGTATCTTTCTTTGGCATAGTCATTAGACTGCTCTGATTCCTCCTAGACTTCTTTGCGGTTTGAATGTGGGTAACTGATTCTGCTCCTTCTGTGTGTATACAGTGGAAAGAAAGAAATTTTCATATATTTCCCATATATTTTAAAGAGCATTGTATCAAGAACTTAGCCTTGTGGTACTCTATCTTTTTGCTGTCACAAATGTGGATACCTTATCCTATTTCACCAAGTGCCGAGGTCCCTAAAGCCTTTAGCTGTCAATTTTAACATCAATTCATTGTCTGACCAAATTTTTCTCATTACCTTCAGTTGTTTTGTATCGAAGCTTTCAAAACCACCTTTTTCTAGGTATTTGATAGCAACCTTGAGAAAAATATAGTAAAAATCTTGTGTTATACGAAAAAAAATTGATTTTTCATCGCTTCGTTAATCAGCATCTACACTTTTTCAACAAAACATGGTGTTCCACAAGGGTCTGTTTCGGGACCCCTACTATTCATTCCCCACATGAATGATATTTGTGAAATTATAAAAATTGTAAAATACAACTATTTGCAGATGACAGATTGATGTATGTAACAGTATATTCGTTGGATGGAATTATTGATTCTTCACAAAGAAATTAAATGTATGCAAAACTGATTGAATTTCAAAGAATTGAAACTGAATCCGAGTAAATCAAAATTCTGTTTACTTTCACACCGGCAAACACAAAATTCCTGACCTATTGAAAATAAAAAATATTGTAATTGTTTCAAAATTTTAATATTCAGGTGTATTTTTGAATATTTTTAATATTATAAACTGAATTTCAATGAACATGTAACACATATTTCAAGAAAAATTGCTAGGAAATTGAACTTTTATCAAAAATAGGAAAATGTGTTCAACTTTTGTACGGAATAAATAACATTGTTATTGTAGTTGTCGTACAACTANGTAAAAATCAATTTTAAAGTAAAAGTCAATTGTAAAGTTGAAATCAATTGTAAAGTTTCAAAAAGTAGAGTGTCAATACAATTACCTTTCAAGACAGTTAAAATCAATTATTGAATTTAAAGAAGTAGACTGTCAATACAGTTATTTGAAAAAGTCCAAATCAATTTTGAAATAAAAATCGATTATGGGGTTTGAAAAAGTAGAGTGTCAATACAGTTATTTAAGAAAGTATAAATCAATTGTAAAGTTTCAAAAAGTAGAGTGTCAATACAGTTAGTTACTCAAGAAAGAAAAAATCGATTATGGAGTTTCAAGAAGTAGACTATCAAGACAATTATTCAAGAAAGTAGAAATCAATTTCAAACTCAAAATCAATTGTAAAGTTTCAAAAAGTAGAGTGTTAATACAGTTAGTTATTCAAGAAAGAAAAAAATCGATTATGGAGTTTCAAGAAGTAGACTATCAAGACAATTATTCAAGAAAGTAGAAATCAATTTCAAACTGAAAATCAATTGTAAAGTTTCGAGAAGCAGACTGTCAATGCAGTTAGTAAAAAAAGTAAAAATCAATTGTAGAGTTTCAAGAAGAAGGCGAGTGTCAATACAGTTAGTTATTCAAGAAAGTAAAAATGTATCATGGAGTTTGAAGAAGCAGACTGTCAATACAGTTATTTAAGAAGGTAAAAATCAATTTTGAAGTAAAAATCAATTGTAAAGTTTTAAGAAATAGACTGTTGATGCAGTTATTTAGAAAAGTGAAAATAAATTGTGAGTTTCAATTCATTTAGTTATTCAAGAAAGTAAAAATCTATCATGGAGTTTGAAGATGTAGACTGGCAATACAGTTATTACAAAGTCAAAATCAATTTTAAAGTTATCAATGTTGTTGTTTGAAAAATTAAAAACCAATTGTAAACTTGTTTGAAGGTGATTGACAATGTCATCACCCGAAGACGATTGTAGATACCAACAATCGAAACGTCGTGAACTAACGTGACTTGGAATCTCTCCACTTTTTATGTTCATTTTCTTTTTTCATTTCTTTATTTTTATTTATTCATTTATTCTATTTTTACTTGTATTTCATTTCACTNGGCTGTTCATATGTATTATTGTTTTTTGTGAGATAATCGGGAACTGTTTGCCGCTCCTCGTCACGATTTCGATCCATTTTTTCGGTTCTTCGTCGTTTTAGTCATATACAGGGCGTGCCGGGGATTGGGACTGTCATGTGAAAGAGCCTCAGGCGAATTGTTGGTACATTACAGGTTGTGAAGGTACTTGTCATCCAGTTGGAATGAATCGAAATCTCGGGAAAATTTTGAAAACTCGATACGTCAAGAAGAGTACTCGGACCACCGCGCTGAAGATGACTTCCGCAGTTGCAGTCGAAACGTCTGGAGATTATAACCAAAGAAGACCATGGCAGAGCTCAAAAGCTCACACCAGCCGTGAAAGCCTACATTCTTATATTACTCATGATGTCGTTCAATATTAATAATAATAAGCTCAGGCTTCGACAGCCTGAACTCAATGAACTGCGCAACCCGATAACCCCGGGTGACGTTCGAAGAGCCCAGATGGGCTTGGAACCCACAAGGGCATTCGATTTGATACAATATCGAATGACCTCATCTTGCATTTGCTCAGATTCTTTGTGGTACCCGACAAAATAGTGAGGTGCATTGAACAACTGACGCCACTTTGTAGAACTCGCTTCACCATAACATTAAGCAAGAGTCCAAACAGGATGAGTCACTTTTGCCATTATCCGTTGCGCTCAGCAATACTCGAGGGTATAACTGTGGCACCCCCGTAAACCGAAGGCACAAGGTCACTCAATTGTTGTATTCTGCATTCTTCAAGATTTGCTGTAAAATTTTTGTTTCACTCACAGAAAATTAAAAAGAAGACGCTGATAAATGAAATTTTGCTAAGGTTATTCTATCATTCTCACTTTCGTTCGGACAAGGCCTTTGTACAATAACATAATAATCAACGTGGGTTGAACACATTGAGCAATTTGTTCCTACTTAACCGGTAACATTGCACTTGCTTTATTTGACAAATGACGAGCTGAATGGTCCAATTTATCTTCCACGGTCATGCAGACTGATGAAGAGAACGTTTCAATCTTTCGGCTATATCGAGCTACCGTTTTCTGGATATAGTATACAGGGTAGAGTTGCATATACACTAGTTGAGTGCTTTTTTAGTGAGTTTGTGTCTTATAAACTACAGGAGATACAAAAAGCGCCAAGAAGTAATTAAGATATTGAAGGTTCTGTCATTTTTGTTTCTACATCTGTAATTTGCGCTACAAAAATATGTATGGATTATGCACAGAATTCAGACAGCACAGAAAAAGCCCATTCGAAACAAATATTTTCATAAATATTCAACGAAAGTCATTTTTTTATCCATTTCTGAAGACGGAGGCAGATTTTGGCCTCCGAAACGTAAAAGATAAGTATTATTTCTTAATAATTTGATAGGCAAAATTGTTAAATACGACAAGAACTAGCAGCATCACCCTCAAGTGATCCACACTAGATATCTACCTGGGTACTCAATTATTAGAAAACAAAATGTCAGCAAAATTTATGGGATTACAAANCAAAATTCTGAAATCATCAAATGTTCAAGTATTACTTTCAATTTGTATAACTTATATTCTTTAAAATAATAACACTTTGACAATAATATTTTATCTTCGATAATATCTTTTATGTTGTGTATCTTATAATCCTCAGAATAGTAACACTTTGTCAATGAGATTTCATCTTCGACAATAAAGTACATTTCGATTTTGATTTGATTTGATATAATATCAGACCATGAAAGCCCGAACTAATGAAATTCATCATGAAACATTGTCAAACACCTTCAACCTCTAAGGGTAACATCTACCCCTTCTAGGGGGTTGAATTACAAGGGCTACAAATAATCCTTGAAAGTGCCCCCCTTGACAATGAAATTGTCTTGTTTTTTCGACCCCTCATATTTTTTACTGGAAGGAATATATTAAGGGTGGGAAGTTTTCAAATTGACATCCTGTATTATCATTTTTACTGATATATATATATTCAAAACCATACGCTTTAAATTTTATTTCAATCAGGAAATCATGAACGTGAACCGCTGTAGCCATTTTAAAATCAAACTTCGGAGTATTAATATTCAAAATATTCAAGTATTCAAAATATTCAAATATTCAAAATAATTATCGATGTGTTTCTGTGAAGCTGGCTGAAACATCGTCAACACAACTGGACCGATGCACAAATTTTTGGATTTTATCATGAATAGAGCCATCCGGGCGTTTTTTACCGAAAAAAAATCCTACCTGAATCTAACAAAACATCGTCAACATACTTGGACCGATGCACAAATTTTTGGATTTTATCATGAATAGAGCCATCCGGGCGTTTTTTACCGAAAAAAAATCCTACCTGAATCTAACAAAACAGCGTCCACGAACACAGCTACACACGCGAGCCCCAAAAGGGTGGTAGCGACCCCGCACCCCATGACTTCCACACGCGCTTCGATAACGTCAACCTCTCTCGGTCCAACTGGACACCGGCACTCGCTGAAACCGACGTCGACGGTCTCTCTGCTGAGACGGCTACGACCAGATGTGGGCCCCGACCTTTATGTGGATCTGCTCCTTATTTGTCATACGGAATTGTTATTATTGTTTTTTGTGAGATAATCGGGAACTGTTTGCCGCTCCTCGTCACGATTTCGATCCATTTTTTCGGTTCTTCGTCGTTTTAGTCATATACAGGGCGTGCCGGGGATTGGACATGATGTCGTTCAATAATAATAATAATAATTGAGCTCAGGCTTCAACAGTCTGAGCTCAATGAACTGCGCAACCCGATGACCCCGGATTGAAGAGCCCTTGTGGGTTCCAAGCCCAGATGGGCTGAACACTTATTGGTGGAAAAAACTAACAAGCACCCACCGCCATCTGCCTAGAGTTTTCAACTCATGGCTGTACGGAAAGCAGCCGAATCCGGATTGGTTCGTCGAGGGGCAGACCGTTCTCAACCCGTAAAGCGGAGATTTGTCGATTCCTAAGAATTACAGGCCGATAACATGCTTGAATTCGTATTATAAGTTGTTTACAAGCGTCTTATACACACGAATACTCACAGCAGTTGACCGAGTGTTCGAACGGATATATGAGCAGAGAGGGTCGAAGAGAGGAGTCGCTGGATGTAAAGAGAATCTGCTCATCTGCTTTGCGGTACCCGACAAAATAGTGAGGTGCATTGAACAACTGACACCACTTTGGCGAACTCGCTTCACCATAACATCTGGTCAAGCAAGAGTCCAAACAGGATGGGTCACTTTTGCCATTATCCGTTGCGCTCAGCAATACTCGAGGGTATAACTGTGGCACCCCCGTAAACCGGAGGCACAAGGTCACTCATTTGTTTTGTATGGATGATCTTAAACTTTATGCCTCTGGAGAGAAGGATCTCCATCAGGCCTTGAGCATGGTGGAAGAGTACACGCTTGCTATCGGTTTGAAATTCGGGATAGACAAACGTGCAATGATCCATCTCAGAAGAGGACGATAAGGGGACCACGGAGAGGATGTGCAGCTCGTAGATGAAAGCATCCTACACCATCTGGATGCCGGAGAGACGTATACTTACCTCGGGGTGGAACAACGCCACTCACAACAGGAACAGCAGTGAAGAACTCTCTTCGCGGCAAGTATCAGCACAAACTTCGACAGATCTTGCCGTTCCAGTCTCACTCTACTCGTTTGGAGTAGTGAAGTGGACTCGGGAGGAGATGTATCAACTCGACAGAGAAACCCGAAAAATGATGCATCTCTATAGGAGATTGCATCCCAAATCGTCCGTTCCACGGTTGTACTTCCCTCGACAACAGGAAGGCCGTAGACTTTTGAGTTTGGAGTGTCTGCATGGTGGAATGGTAATGGATACAGCCTGTAAAGTCGTCAGGCATTCGGATCCCCTTCTCTGCATGATCCGTGATCATGAGAGAGCAGGAATTGGAGCATTTCTCTTCAGGGCAGCTGCCCGAGCAGCTGATGAAATTGAAGCTTAGAAGAAAGCCGCAGAGATCACCTCAATTCTACGGAAACACAAGGATGAGCCAATGCATAGGGTCTTCTTCAATAACATTGGAGACCTTGGCTTATCAAAGCGCCTGACGTTCGCTTTCCTCAGGTCGAGTAGGCTGAAGTCGGAAACTGAGGTGTTCATCATGGCTTGCCAGGATGGTGTCTTCAACACCTTAGTCTACCGCAGTCGCGTGATGGGTATAGAGGTTCCTGACACAAGGTGCAGGGCCTGCCGCGAGGCGCCCGAGACNAAATTCAGGTACTCAATCGAGCCAAGTACCTCTATTATTACCTACAGGGGTGTTATATAAGGGTTAATGTAATAACGCATTGTTAGTTTAATGTATAAGTTTGAACATGTCCTTATAGGACGAAACTGCAGTAGCGTTAGTTACATATAAAAGTGGTAAAAATACAGAAAGTTTCAATTCTCTTTTCTTTCTAGAAACCAACCTCTGTTTCAGCCACATTTATTTCACTCGCATGTACCTATTATGCAAAATCCAATAAACGCCAAGTGGGAGTTTGATGACGTATTCTTTCCTAACGTGCTGCCTTATGAGGATTTGTCCCACTTCAGCAGCGCCACTTGTTTCTCCTCGGTTTTTTTATTGACCGTTTCTAATCTTGAATGAACCCACTTATTCCTAATGAATATGAAAATGCACATGATTTAAAGAAATCATTATAGAACATATCTTTAGGAGTATATCTTCCCACACTGAGATTATGTCTGGCGTCCATTTATACAGTACGGACGTAAAAAGTCTGCCTCTTCCCAGCTTTTGAACGGGACCGGATATCAAGGTCGGAAAAAATCACACAAGTCTGCAACAAAAAGCTGTCTGGATCTTTCCAAACGATTTCTATGTATTTGGGTTTTCTGAAAACTAAAAAAAATACTCAAAAAATCCAGAACGTCAGGTTATTTTGCAAATCGCAAAATTGTATTGTGAAGAAGAGGTTTTTTGGGCTAACTAGAAATCATGTATACAGTGCATTTCTAGTTTCATTTTTTGAACGAGTCAACTCAAAAAACCCAAATTTGGGATAATGAAATAAATGCATGAATACTTTATTTTGTAGTGAAATTGACATGATGGAACTTCCAAGATGGCGACTGGACGCCATCTGGGAAAAAAAATTAAATGGAAAGGGGAGTCTTAAGACACTTCATTTTGAAGCTCCTGGCGAATACGTTACTACTCTAGAATAGTAAATTCTCGTCCATTGGAAGAAAAAATCGAAGCGATTTTCATTTACGGTGCGACGCGTAACTTTCACGAGACAGAAAGGATTTTCAATGAACGCTTTCCGAATAGTCCTATCTGTAGAAAATATTTGAGGAAACTTGTATTCGAATGCACAACTATCGGTAATATACATAACAAAAAGCCCCCAGATCATCCATCCATTCCGGAAGAACACCAAGTGCAAATAATTGGTGAGATGGTAGTAAACCCTGAACAGTCTACTTATTCCTTCGCGAATAATTCTGAGGCGTATCATTCTACTGTGTAGAGACTTTTGACAAAGAATAAGTATCATCCATACAAAATTAAAATGGTACAACAATTAACTGAAGATGATACTGATCGAAGGACAGAATTCTGAGATATCATGACGGAAACTATCTCCACAATATTTGTTTTAGTGACGAATATACATTTTTTTCAAACAGCAATATCCACAGACAGAATTGTCGTTATTGGAGTGACACCAACCCTCACGTTTTCAGGGAAATACATAGCCAATATCCAGAAAAAATCAACGTTTGGGCAGGAATATTGGGAAACCATATTGTAGGACCTATATTTATTGATCAAAATTCAACAGGGGAAGAGGGGAAGATGGAGCCCCACCACAATACTCCAGACAAGTAAGAAACTATTTGATTACTACTTTTCCTGGTCATTGGATTGTCCATCGAGTTCCTACAGAATGGCCAGCCCGCTCGCCAGATTTGACACCTTTGGACTTTTTTCTGGAGCTATTTGAAGCGAAAGGTGTACGAAACCGAACCTGCTTCAATATTGGATATACGGCAGAGAATATTAAAGATTTGTAGGGATATTGACGTTATTGTGTTCGAAAATGTTTGGCGTGAAATATCGGATAGGCTGTTCATATGCCAAGAAGTTCTAGGCAACAATTTCGAGCATCTTCCGAACTGATCTCAAGCTTATTACCTCATATTATGTAGTTGAATGTCAATGTGTACAGGCAATTATTGAAAGTTCCGCCATTTTGTAGTAGTTGAAGATATTGACATTATATTCTAGGGTTGTGAAGCATTTGTCAGGAGCTTCAAAAATATGTATCGCAAGACCCCCCTTTACATTTAATTTTTTTACCAGGTAGCTCCCAGTCGCCTCAAGGTAGTCTGTGTGATAGTAGAGACCAAGCAAATCACTGGCCCAAGAACCGTCCTGCATGGAACTTCAGTGCCTTTTTCAGTTGTTTCACGGATTTCAAATCATTTTATATAGTAGACAATGGAAGTCCGAACTAGTGAAATTCATCATGAAACATTGTCAATCACCTTCAAGATGAATTGGAACATAACGGACGCAAAAAATTTGGAAAATATTTGAAATAACAACTAGTGAAATTCATCGGAATTACACCAGTTCCTCCTAATGTGAAACTAGGTGTTCCACGAAGATCTGCTCTGGGTCCGTTGTTATTCTTGATTTTTATCAATGACTTGACTGAGTTCATATCAGATTGTCTTATAACTATGAAATTTCATTTCACGTTTCTTCGCTTAATATGATTGTTATTTTGTGTTAATCATTACAATTTTTAATTTCATTTATCCTTTCAGAGATTTCGAATCATATTAGTATCATATTACACAATGGAAATCCGAACTCTTGAAATTGACTCGGTCAAACTTTCATTGATCCACGAAAAAGTTCATGGGAGGTACGTTCATTTTTACTTAAAAGACTATTCATTTTGAAATATCTCCGTGAAATTCATCCAAAGAATCGCTGTAATTATTGAGTAGGAACTCTAAACATGTGTATGTAGTATAGAACCTCTGAAAGAATGAATGTCAGCTGTAAAAAACTGAAATTATTAACACAAGAGATACTTCGATGTCGAAAACATATGTTGATGATTCATAATATGAGAGTAATGGTCATAAGATTGAAATAATTAAAGAATTTCTCTTTATGTAATATACCGCCAATCATTTTTTGGTACAATAAATTAGAAGTCATTAGAAGTTTCTATCAGTAAAATCAAATGTTTGAAACTTCGAAAGGGAGGAATAAAGCAATTGAATTGATGATAAACTATATACAAATATGCGGATAGGAGTTTCCCACGTTATTTTATGAAGCTGAAGAAGTAGCAATCCAGAAAGTTTTTCTCCACAGAACTAATTTCTTGTGAAAACTTCTCTCTTTTCGATTTGGATTGTGAGTATAGTATGCGATTGCAATAGGCTGCATGCCCTGATTCTATAGACAATGAACGATTTACTAGTAGAAATACTCATGATCAATAATTAATCGTCTACGGGGTGTTTCAAATTCGATCCTCACTATTTGGATCTCGAAAACTATGAGAGATACGAAGATGGTTGAATAAGGGTAAAGTGGCGCATTTACGTGACTAACAATATGCCGTTGGGAAAGTTCCGAAATTCCTAGTAAATCTGGAGATACCAGGAAAAAACAGAAATTTCGGAAAATGGTTTTTATTTTTTTCCGGCTTTATTTTTCGAAAGATTCGGAAATAAATTGCACTTCCACATTACCACTTTTTCTCTGCTACATAATCGTGTTTTCAGATTTGCTATCCCACGTTTCGTCTTCCGGCCACCATCATCAACTTTATTTTTTCTTATGAGTGCTTATGATGTATCATAAGTTATAATTCTTTTTCGAACAATTGGAGAAAGGAAGTTAGGTACAGCGCCATCTGCCAGTGAATAGATCAAACAATAATGCCGATAATTCTGCCAATACAGATGCCGAGCTTTAAAGTTACAAACAAACATGCATACAAATAAACATACATACATACATACCGGTGAAGCTAATGTATAGCGTTTAAATAAATCATGTAATAAAAATACGCATAAATAGGCCTTTCAAACAAATGAAAAAAAATCTATGACATCTCACACACTTTTTGTTTTATTTAAATTTAAAAATAGGAAACGATTACTTGAGATAGTCAAGAGAGGAACTATTGAAAATATGTATAGGTATCCCTATTAGGAATTGATACGAGAAAAATTGTTATTCTATTTAGTTTTCTTTCTTAGACGATTATTTCATTTCTTAAAAATAACACAGGTAGGTACATCTATCAAGTTTTTGTTTGTGAAAGTGCTGATGTTAAAAACTTGGTTGCATTTCTTATTAACATAATTAGCAATATAATTTTCAAAAACGTGTGATATATCTGCTTGAGATTTGGTGTTAATTGTGACTCTCAAAGAGTCGAGAGGAACATAGTTTTTACATACTATCTGAAATTGTATCATCATGGAAGTTGAAAAACACTATTTGTATAAAAAGTTTCCTTTTGGAGCAAATTTTTAAGGAAATAATTAATATCATTTTGCGAATTCATGGATGAAAAAGAAAGCAAGGAGAAAGTAATACTGAAAAAATTTTGAGGACGTGGTAAAAGCCAGATCGAGCAAATTCGGTCAAATCTCACAAGATTCATTATTTTCTACAATTTCTGAAAACTTGGGACATGAATTTAAATATATTTGTATGAGATTGAGCTAATTCATTTTTTTTTTTCTCATTCAACAAAACGTTACATCCTCACTACCCTTTAAGAAAGAAATACTATGGCGAAAACTCTTTTGAAGATGTCAGAGCCATAATTTTTTTAAAGTTCATTTCATAGAGTCCTCATCACTGCCAGAATATCCTACATCATAGTTAGTATTGAACAACAGAAGAACCACAAGGACTTCTACTGGGGCCCTGCTGGGCATACGGACAAGGAGCTCCATATGATGGTACCATATAATTATCCTGAGTATACTGGTACCTTGGCTGGTTCACTAAACCATATCGTGGTAGTGGTGCTTGTTGAATGGTTTGAAATGGCTGTTGAATGGTTTGAATTGGCTGTTGAATGGTTTGAATTGGCTGTTGAATGGTTTGAAACGGTTGTTGAACGATTTGAAATGGTTGCTGCACGCTTTGAATAGCTGGTTGTGGTAGATAAACTGGTTGAATGACGGGTTGCCTTGGGATATTGTAAACTGGCCTCTGTTGAGTGTAGATTGGCTGGATTGGAACTTGGAATACTTGTTGCGTTGGTCTAGTAGTGGAATTTCTCTGAACTGATCGCCATGGGAAGTAATATGTTGGTTGAGGGGCAGGCTGTGGTGCTGATTGGTAGATAGGAACTGAATACACTGAAAATGAAAGTTGAGTTATTCAAAAGGCATTTTTTTGCATGAACTTCATATCTTTGAAGAGTTTATTTTGGAATTTTTTGCTTTCTCTCTTCCTTTGTAAGTTTTTCACTTATTTTGTTTGAAGATGTTGAAGTAGAAAGTCTAAATCCTTTCTTTCCCAAGTAAATGTTTTTGTTATGTGATCATATAATATGATATGATATGTGACCGAAGATGAAAAAAAAGGTTCATAGGGATTACTTGACCCAAGATACCTTTTGTGTATAGCAAGTTTTGTGAGATTCCCCAGATCAAACGGTATTCTATCAGACCATAAAACACTAATTAAAAAATTACTTACCTGTTGTTTGAGTTGGCACAGACGTATTATTTTTATTTCTGACAGTCAATTGCGCAGGAACCTCTGGTTCTGGATCTGGTTCTGAAATATAAAATTATCATCTGTTTTCATGTAGACATACAGAAATACGGATTGTAGTACTTTGAGTTGTACTACCGGCAGCAGGTTGCATATCTTAATGAGGATCTAGAATTCGATTTGGGGTAAAAGCAACCATGTTCAATTCAATTCCACAAAAACCCAGACATCGGTTTTCTCCAAAGAGATAAATGTCTCCGAACCGGACAATTTCGCTTTCTGCTTCGATGAGTTTGTTGGAGGTAGAAATGGACACCAATATGTCTTGGCACCATCATGTCTCTGGAATTGCAAAGGTAGTTCCTCAAAAACTTGGGACACTGTTGCGAACCAGAAAACTCTACACACCTCAGCAACTTTTGATGCTTTTAAAAGCTTAGATCAGACCTCCTTTCGAGTATTGTTCTCATGTATGGAGGTCCCCACATAAGCATGCTGGATTTCATCCAGAAGAGAGCAATCCGCCTGATTGGAGAAAGAAACATCACTGACAACCTTGATAGTAAGTATCCTATTTTAGGCCCCGTTTGGTGTTCGGTTTGTACGGAAAATAAAACACAGGGCCAACAAAAAAGTTTTTCTCGTTTAATGGAGCCGGTTAACCAATCGCATTTATCGTACCAACTAATATTAAATCCTCGATTTTGTCGATTATCTGACGCTTTAATTGAAATCAAATTTGGTTGAGGCCTTCCCAGAGTTTTAATGATGAAAAATTGATTGTCATAGGATAAAGACTTAAAATTATTCGTCAGCAACCAATCGACTATATCGTCAGATTTTTTAATTTCGTCCAACTTATCCATAATACATGGAAAAAAACTTACCGAAAAGTGAAAACCTGAAAACACCTTGAAATTGAAAGAAAACACATTAAAAATATTACCAAAAAGCACTGATATAATACAATACTGCCTGTTTTATACACAAATAACAAATATTACCAAGAAACACTAAAACGATTTACCGAAATATTTTTCAGTCCCGGTCCGTCACGGTATCCCGTCCGAATAATTAAATAAAAAACAAACGCAGTCGTATTCTAACGGAGACCAACTGGAGGCTAACCTCCTCTAACGCTATAATTTCCGCAACTTAAATTACAAATCGGGACGTATGTCGCTGGTTGGTTCGGTATCGCGGAGCTTCTGTTTTTTAAAACTGTCGGAGGCTTGGCTCCCTTGCAACGTGTGGAATTCATTATTTCGGGTTGATGGTTTATTCGTTATTCGTTCATGGGCGGTGCGTTTGATATTTGTTGATGCAGGATACAGTGTGGTACGTACTACGTAGTGATTGATAGTGTTTTTTCGGGCATATTATGTATTTATATTATAAATTAATGGTAAAGTAATGATACACAAGCATTTTTTGAAAAAATAATCATAATTATTTGAAGTTCTTCTTTGTACAGAAGTACAATCCATTCTGTTAGACGTCCTTTCCATGAGCTGCTTACTATCATTCGTCAGCCTAGGGCAACATATGTTGATCATGAAGGAATTTGTCAAAGCCCTCATGCGTTTTGGTTATTCCAAGAGATCGGCGCAAAGGAAATATGATAGAATTAGCCGATTCTTGATAGAAATACATAAGAAATTATGCAAAAGTCTTGCCATCATGCTCCTGAGACTTCGAAATACGCAGGCCACCAGACGACAGCAAAATCGGGAAAGGAGGCGTCACGTATCATCCCGGAGCACGTATCATCCAGGACACCACGCGACAATTTGGTACACTCTGGTTGCCTGGGCTAGCTGAGAAGCAACCTGACTGGTATGATGACGTCACTGTCTCGCTGAATTGGGAAAAGGATTTCCTTTAGGAAAAATACTTACCAATATCCGTTGCTCCCTTGCAAACTGCCGAACACACCCATTGCCTTCTACCCTCCCGACAATTCTTCCCGTTCTTGTCACACGCCCTAGGAGTAACAACCAAACAGCAGTCGACACTAGAGGGAGCTACTGTGGGTACAATTTCATCGTCAGGATTTTCAGCAGGAACCCTCTGGAAATGTATGACGACTGTGTTCTCATTAGTAGAATTCACAGTTATCGGTATAGAAATGTTGTTGATGTTGTCGATGGTATTCTGAATAGTTAAACTGACGGTGTCGTTCCTAATATTAGTATTGTTTACTATGGTTCCTTCAGCAGGTGAGGGCTGTGGTATATTCGAGGTTGACGGGAAAGGTATCAAAACGGGAACTGTGTCTGATTCCTCTTTTACTTGATTGTTGTTGCAAGGAGACCGGTTATAATTGTTGTTGCAGTTTCTTGGTCTGTTACAAGGTGTAGAGCAGGAACTGCTACATTCTCTGTAGTCATCGCAACAGCAGTTACTTCTTTTAACCAGATTTCTTGCTAGGACTGCATTCACGATCACAGAAACCAGAAGAAAGAGAAGCAATAACCTCATCTGGAAAAAAATCAAGGAAGCAACAAGTTATTCATACTTTGAGACTTGAGAATAATGAGGGAAAAGAGAGAGTTGTTTGTTTTCCGAGGTCTTAGAAATCTTTTTTGAAGGCTTTTCTGGTTTTCGCTTTCCACTTTCCATCAAAAGTTGTCATAATAAGGTGTATACTAACCTCAGTATCATAATGAATTATTATTTTTTTGAGAATTGTGTTTTCTAAACAGTTGAACAAAGGGTCAGTGTCTCTTTGAAACATGGGATTTTTTTGTGTGAAATCAACTAAAAATTTGTAAAAGGTGTACACAAATTATTGTCAAAGTAAGACAAGCTTTGACGTTATACGACCTAACATTACACGAAATTCTGGACTTTTAAATCGACGAATAGTGGAGTGGCTGTAATATAATTCTTACTGACCTTTCTGCACACTTTCATAAGAACAAATCATAGACTGGAATGTTGTAATTGAAACTTGATTATAGAATAGTTATCTCTACATCCGAAGTTATGTTTTCGACATGGGTCAAATTTTGGGAGATTGTGACACTTTTATCGGTCTTGGCAAAGTTTTATTTAGATCTCGGTAAAACAGAGTGACATTGAAAATATAGTATTGATTAAGTTCACACGAATGAGGTCGTTATTAATGTCGTACGAGTATAAGTTCAAACCTGGGTTACGATGGTACTGCTTTTTTTTAGATTCTTCTAGTAAGATAGAAAACAAAACTAGTTCATATTAGTTTTACGACACAATCTGGAATTAATATTTTTCCAAAATTTTATGAGAAATATCCTGTAGTAGAATGAATGAAAAAATCAAATATTCACATATATAATAATGATGATATAGAACATTTTCAGATTAGACATAAAATCAATTATACTCCTACCACCGATAAATAAATACGAAGTGTGTGAAAACATTACATTAACTCCGAATATAGGCTCTAGATCTATTTTTTAACTCCACTAATGTACAGGGCGGCCAAATTGGACACTTTTAAAAGGAAACTTCTGTTTTCAAACTAGATAGATGAACACTGATGGCTGTTTCTGGATGTCAAATTTTATGACAAACTCATTGGTGAAAACCGCATATCGTTTCTGAGTTACAGCATGTTTTTCGAAAATGTCTCAATAGACAAAAACCATTAAATGTTTTCGTTCAATTTTCAAAACACATTCGCAATGAAGTATGAGAATTAATGACGGAAACTTATAATTTCATATCATCGGTAAACATACAGATATACACAGATAATTTATGTACAATGATCAAAATAGTGGACCCAAACTTGATCCCTGTGGTACACCGCTTGATGATATATACATTTATGATTTGTAAGCATTATATTGTACTAACCGTTGACAGTGGAAAAAGTACGATTCTAGAAGGGCTGTTTAAATATCAGAAAAACCTATATTCCAAAGTTTGTGCAAGGGAAGTTTGTGATTCATTCTGTCAAAAGCTTTCGAGAAATCTGTGTACACCACATCTACCTGGCCCAGCGTTTCGCAAAGAAATTGANACGACTCTTTCAGCCAGCTTAGCCGCCGACGAGAGTAGACTGATCGGGCGATAGTTCTGCGGGAACAGCTGGTTCTGACCCTGTTTCGGGAGCATGACGACGATCGCATGCTTCCACCTTCTAGGGAAGTGTCTGAGGGCCAACGAACTGTTGATAAGACTCAGCAAGAATTCAACGCTGTTTTCCGGGAGTCTCTTCAACAACTTGTTAGTTATTGAATCGGCCCCCGGAGCCTTCTTTGCTTTCGCAGCCTTGATGAGACCCTTCAGCTCCTCCATAGAAGCTGGACGGATGTCGTCGTCGTCATCCTCCCTGAGAAGTCTTTCTGAATCTATTTTCTCTCAAATAGACGGCTGCTGACACTGCTAATATGGAGTAAATATATAAGGCGCCACCTATGTGTCACTAGTTATAATTGAAATTACATTGAAATGTTCTTTATAAAATGTCTAAGAGATGGCGCAATATCACTTTAGCCTCCATGGATTTAAGAATAAATTCAATAATGTTTCGCAATTTTCGAATGTTCATATAAGTTTCAATATAAATGAGAAATTGAATTTTCTCATAGTACTTCTATTCGAATTTCAAAATTTGATACAAATAAAAATTGAAATGTTCGAAATTTTGTTCAACAAAAACAGTTGGCACAAAACAGTTTTTTTGGAGTGGCAGACCACTCGTTTAAGTAGTTTGTGGCGTGTGTGCTTTTTTGTTGAATAAAGGACTGAGGACTGAGAAAGGGAACAAAATAAACACTGTTGGTTGTATATAGTTTTATTTTCGTAATAAACTTTTGAGCTAGTAAAAAGTAAACTCTTATAAAAAGGGAGCAGTACATATTATTGTCAAAGCCAAACCTAATTACTACGATATTATAAACAAACTAACAAAAACCATGGAGTTAAACAAATACATTTTTCCAAAATGGAAAGTTTAAGTTTGCAAAATTATTCGCTTGATGATAATAAGCTATTCATGTCTCCCAATTAAAAAGTCAAGAGGTTAACATTTCCAACAGTCCCCATTTTCAATAAAAACTAGACGTTTCATAGTGACAGTATTTTTGAAAATGAAGATTATTCGATTGATTATCCAGCCAAGTATCACCTCATGTGAAACAGAATGCCACAGAAACAAATATTATCAGATCACCGAAGACTGGCGAATTGCTCCAGACAGCACAGCCGTAATCAAAAAAGCAAGAAAATAATAACGATATTTATGAACTACTCTTGAGGACAACTACAAAAGTGAGGTTATACTGGAAAAGAGAAGTTCCAATAATGTTGTAAATGGAGATTGCTCTATGCACCTTTTTGGCAGAATTTCCCGATTGTTTTTTGGTCACACCCTGAAGAATATTCAACTCTTCGATATCCTTAAGTTTTAAAATAAAAGAACGTGCGCCTTTGACAAACACAACCATCAGGATGATAAAAATAAACTTTTGAAAGATTTAACACGTGAACGTGTTTGTCTTGAAAATTTCTTTACAGCCCCATAAACTCGAGGAGATAAAATATTTCAATATACCTACTTTCGAGAGAATGTTCGATAGCTTTGAAGCTTTAAAGCTTTATTCGTTATCAAAGTTTTGCAGGAAGTTGGTTATGAAAGTTGAGTATTCACCTGTTTCACAACTTTGGCGTGTGCACTGAATCGATTTGAAATATGCGACATAAATTTCATTTGTAATTGTCAGATGCAGGGGCAGATTTGCGACAAAGAAAATATAGATGACAGAAACAATCCATACAGTAATATTGTGATAATGAAAGTTTTGTTTGAGGCCTAATTTCTGAACAGTTTTTATACTGAGGACCAACTTTTTGTAATACACGGTGTTCTACAAAAACAATCAGCATCAATTTATTTTAAAATATACAATTAAGTATTCACAATTGTTTCTTATGATCATGCAATATAAATTAAAAACAATTACTTGAGTACTATCCATTTTGAATGTTTGGAAAATTAATAATAATTTTTTCAAATAACAAAAAAATTAGCTTCAATTGGTTTTTTTAGGATTTACTATAACATTTGAAAAGTTTTTATGAAGATTCATTGACTGGCTCTGGATTCCGAGCTATAAATCTTACGGCGCTCCACTGAAGATCACACTGTATAGCCCTAATGATAATGCATTCTGGAAATCATTTCTGAATCGAAGGTTATTTTTCAAGCAACGATACATTCTTATCATCCACAAAAACTGGCTGTAAGGTCATTCGTCTAGCCAATAAAAGTAAACTTTGGAATATTCAGAATATTGATCGACGCTTCTAAAAATAACATCTATCATTTGATCAACTGATTTCGAGAATCGTAGATTTTTCCATATCCTATCTACTTACAATTCTTGCTTTCAAAATGAAAACAAAAGTGAAATGACTACGAATTCTCACATTTGTGTTAAAAGGCTGTATTTAACTCCATGATTTTCATTGCTATAAGTATTTGCAATTCTTTCAGCTATTAGTAAATCTATTGATGAGCCTTCATTTTGTTCTACTCAATGTTTTTTCTTTGCAATTCACGGATGTATTCAGAGAACTTACATTTGAACCTAGTATCATTTCAAACTATTAGTTGCAAATTTCTTTCAGCAGGAAATATTGAATTTTATACGACGATAACACTCACTGAACAAATTCTATAACTTAGCAGAAAAGATTGTTCTCTTGAGTTTTCTCAATTCAATTTTTAGTTAGGAGCTGGCTGATAATTACTAATTCGTCGTAGCTTCAAAATACATCCGTACAATTAGAAAAACATAATTACAGCTATCATTACAAAATATTCTTGAAGAATTAGGCTATTTCAGAAAATTGAGCTCACACATCTTTCTATGATGAATCGGTTGTTTGTATCAACTTCAATGAAAAAAATATAAGTGAGTCTCTGTTTTTTGCATCCAAAGTACATTATTATCTGTTGAATTCTTGTTTCAGAAACTGAAGAAGTAGACAGAACTCATCAACCATATGAATTCTTCAAGATTAATTAATTTACATATTTTCGCCAAACAAACAAAAGTTCTGCCAAAAGTTTATCAAATTCTCCAATAGTTGGCCAATTATAGCAGGTTTCGAAATGAATTGTCTAGTTAATGTTACCCGACTTATTTTCATCACTGTTATATTATAAGTGAGTGGTGCTGGTAGAAAACAATTGACAGTTGAAGATTTTGATATATCAGATATAAAATCGACTCAATTTTGGCACAGGTATGTCTCGCATCAAAATTTTGTATTTCAATGTTCAACAGCAATGAGCTTAACAAAAAAATCCAGGAAACTCGGATCAGGTGACCGTCGCGGTCACATCATCAGTCCCTCTACACCAGAGTCATGTTACAGAGATTTTACCTGCCATATGTTATAGCACTGCATTAGGTTAGGTTAGGTCAGAAGTGAGTGGGTCTATTCGAACCTCCACCGCAACCCGCAAGGGTTTATTGTGGATTTCACCTATTCAAACTCGACCAAATAAACCCAGCTTCTTGGCGAAGACGATTACTTCATATGATGAGTGATCTTTTAGGTCAGATGGTGAGAGAGCGGCTCTGCCAAACTGATTCGGTTACTGATTTAGCTTATAGTTACTGATTATAGATAATTTTAATGTCATCTCTGACAAACCAATCAACTGTCAATGTTTTTGAATAATACTGATCAATTTTCAACTGTTCTTTTTATTCTTTATTGTACTTTGGAATACAAGGTCGTTTTCAATAACATATTTCTGTTTTTTTTTTACTTTTTACTATTGTTCAATATTTAAACATCCTCCAAAGATCAGGTGTTTTATTTCAGGCTCAGCTCATATTATTTCAAAGCACTAATCCATTTCAGCATAGAAAGTTAGCTTAGATTGACCTTGGACATGGCTCTTCTAAATCTAATTAGGTACATTCATAGTGATTATCCCTTCTAAAGCTTCTAAGTAGCACCTAATTGTTGAAATTCATATTGTTTTCGACAGAATCACTCTAAATTTGTATATGTTATTATTGTCTAAGTATTGTCAACAATTGTGTCGAACCTCAAATATTGTCAATGTGGACCTCGTATAATACTTAATCTATCTAGTAGCGAGTCTAAACAATACTATAAAATATTCTCAAGCTTTTTGAACAGTTCAAGATATGTTAAAACGTAACTCTGATATTCATTTCATACTTTTATAATTTCGTAAATATATTAAAGGTATTAAAACTTTCTGATTGTTCAACAGGTATAATTTGTATATTTTTTAAGAGAGGGGGGAATGAATCCTTGTGACAAAAACTGTTCACTCTTAAGGAAACTATTTATTACTCTGTAGAAATGAGATGAAATTTGTTAAAATAGTCTAGAAAAATAACCAGATATCTCATTGTATTTCTTGGTATTCATGAATTCGACCTATCAGATTCAAACCGATATATTTTCTACTATCAGCATGTACGGTTTCAACTTAACCTAGCTTTTGCAATGAATGAAGGGCATTTCAGAATACTTTTATATACATAATTAAACACCATAGCTGTTGAATAATGTAACTTTTTCACAGCTCAATGCCAGGTTATCTTAAAGGTCATTGTTTTCTTATTCGAGTATCTATACCCACGTAGTGTTTGTCATTTATTGTCAATGTCAATAATACCATACTTATATATCTCCAATAGAAATATTTTTGACAAGGCTCTTAATATATATTTGCAGTAAAAAACTTTCTTACGATACAAAACGTGTTGCTTTCAGTCTTTGTTTTTTTCTGATACAATGAAGATTTTCGGTAATTAATATTTGAATTTGAATCAGTAATAATCACATATTCAATAAAAATATCACATCTTTCTCGGAAGCTTGCATAAATATATAAAATATCACATATTTTTGTTTTTATCATAACCCAAATAATTATATTGTGTGCGCCACTGTCGGTGGAGGGGAAGTCACAGTCTATCGTCGGTCTCCTCTTTCCCTGTAAACTACGCGCTGTCGAATTTAGCGACTTCAACACAATCTGTGTCGTAGATATTGGTTTGCTGAGTCCATTTACTTTCTTTGAGTCCATGAACGGAAACAACCAAAGTGAAAATTCGCAATTCAATATATAAATTGAGGAAATCTAAACAACACATTACTTTGGACAGCATCTTTCTTCAAGAAAATGAAATAACTGACATTCGTAGAAGTTTGGAATCATTTAAAAATATAGAATGTAAATACAACGAAGACAACAGTAATGATTTATCTAGAAAAATCGTTTTTTTCGTTAAAATAGAGTTATTGAAGAATGCATTCAGTTCAAACAGAATAGTTTTTTTTTCATAAAAGGCATATACCGAGTGTCCTGCATTCACGTTGGCATGTACGTTGGCTTTCAATAAGTTATACAATTTGTATTCCATTTTGCAAAAACAATAATTGCAAATAACTTTGTATTCAGAGATTAATTATTATCTATCTATCATCACAAGAATTCAATTCCCCCTGGAAATTCAACTCAATCCAAACACTCTGGGATATGTAAAATGGTTTAGATATGCTCGATAGAAAAGTTCGTATCTTAAACATTAAAAATGCAAATGGAATTAGCCTTAGTACGTCACAAAAAGTTCTCTAATTCCCTTTCCATTGAGCACAGTGACGTCATAGATAAAACCTGATTTTTTTTCGTAAAATAATGACAGCGGGAGGCCTTGAGCTTATCACAAGATCAGTAGAAGAATGTTTTGATGAAGCAAAACTTGGCACTACTGGGAAATACATATCAATCACAGTGTATCCATCAAATGTTACAGCGTATGCTAGTTTGGTCATGAACCCCCTTTTTATAACTCATACAGGCGCAGATTACGAATTTACGCTTCAACACTCCTCTATTAAGCGTTTTAAATGCATAGCATTCAATTTGAAGTAGTTTACGATTGAAGAACGACCTAACGCACGTTTATGGATCCAAGTTATAGTACAGACAAATTGTAGTTGGCTCATTTGAATTCATTGTTGAAAAGCTGTGTCCTCAATTTAAGTTCATTGTAGTTTCATTGTTTAGAAGTTGTTAATTAATCTTTCAGTGAAGTCGTCTATCTACAAGGTAAGTAGTTTAGTTGAATACCTTCAAATCCAAATTAAACTTCGATAATACGATAAGGATAAACGTCTTCATGATTTCTCATTTAATTTCCACCTCAAACGTCCACAGCAGAATTCTGGTTTTCGAACTGCACCGGTAAATCCTTTTCCCAAAGCTCCGATAATACTAAGCATCAAATACCGATGACCATCCCTATACCATAAGGTGGGTGATCATTGGACTCGATTATCGTGTGCCCTGATTAGTCACAAGCCAAGGATGACATTTACTCAGCCAGCATTTGTGACAAAATGCGGCAAGCTAGTTTAGTGTGAGGCCGGTTTCCGATTGAAGTTTTTTTTAATATTGTATGAGTTACATGAAGTTACTTTATGCAGGATTGAAAACAGATACATTTTGCATATGCGCTGAACTTGTATGTGGAAACTCCATCTTATAGCTTTTTCAATATAGACATTTGAACTTTTTGGCTCAAACTCATGACTTGATACAAGTTGTAAGGACTTTCAACTCAAAATCATAACTCAAAAGTCGCAATTCCTAATGTTCAACCGGAAATTTAGATTCCCAAGTTGAAACATTTGGTTTCCATTAAATTAGCACAAAAATCATTATTTTTATGAAGGCATTCCGTAGCTTTCAGGGTTAATTGTTACCTTCACTAAAACATGTGCTTATTTAAGCAAATTGAAAGTAGATGTGCGTATTTGAATTAATGATTCTGAAATTTTCTTACCGCATTTTTAATTAATTCGTGTGGGGTGGTTGAACAAACTTGAACACACTGTATTTGTCTTGCGCATTGATTTCGAAGTGGAAAAATATTACGTTTTGAAGTTGAATGACTTCTCACAACTGAAATTTCAGCAGTTACTTCTTCCTGGAAGCAGGAAACATTGGGGGACTGTGAGAGGCACATCAACTTCAGAAAGGTACATTTTATTTCAACCGATTTTTCCATTCTTAAAACGCTATAATAAGCCTAGAAGAAGCGAAAAAATAAGTAATATGCACAGAGCAGCAGAACTGACAACAAAGCATCCGCTAAGTTTGCCACTAAATCGAATCTTCGATACAGATACCCACCTAAATCAACCTCGTTACGGAAATCTAGAACATCCATGAAGCAGCAAATCAGTACAGATACCTAAAACCATTTCTAGCCTTCTAAAGTTTCCATTTAAATGAATCCGTCAAACGCATGTCGTAGTACCAAACCAGATTAGCAGACCTTTGCTAGCAATACCTCTCCACAACGCTAACCGAAACCTTATGCATCTGCCGAATAGCGTTGGATCACCTACCCGTGTCAATCTCCGTCAAATCCCGACCCTTGGTCTCTGGAACACAGCAGACAATAAAACACAGCCCACAAACCGAAATAAAAGCGTATAACCAGAAGGCTCCATACAATCCCAACCATTCCTTGAAGTCGACGAAGGTCTTCACTCCAATGAAAGCGCACAAGTAACTGAATCCGGTTGCAAGCGCAGTACCGAAGCCTCTGTGCTCCAGTGAGAACAGCTCACTGACAAGCAGCCAACTGATCGGGCTTATACCGAGAGAAAAGGCTATGGTAAACACCAGCACGCAAAGTAGTGGGATCCAATCCAAATTGGGAACCGTCTTGGGGTTTGCTTCTTCGTAGTAAGCGAAAGACCCAAAAGAAGCCAAGGCCATAGTCATAAGAACGCTAGAAGCTACCAAAAGGGGCAACCTACCCGCGGAGTCCACGAGCAAACCTGAAAGCAGTGAAGAGAGCAGCTGGACAACAGCCACAGCCACGGCAGCGCTGTGGGGGTTCGTACTGCCGAAGGTCTCTTTAAAAACACTGACGACATAAAAGTAGAAGGCGTTGGCACCGGAGAAGCGTTGAAAGAACATCAGCCCGCAAGCTATGAGCGCAGGAGTGCGCAGAGTCTGCAAGAGGAACTTGTGGTTCTTGCTTACGGGACCTGTGAGGACGTGGGCTTGGAGGATGGCCAACTCCAGCTGTAAGTCGGCAGTATTGCCCCTCAACCACCGAAGAGCCTTCTCAGCTTCCGCATCTCGCCCGCGCAGCACCAACCAACCAGGGCTCTCGGGAACATTCCATAGTACTACGCACATAGTTGCAGGGGCCAGAGATATTAACCCCGCTAGTTGACGCCAGTCTAGAAAAGCCCCGGCAATGAACGACACAAGCACACCTAAGTGTCCTGCAACTTTCAGCAGCGCACTCAAACCTCCACGGACAGATGGCGCTGCTATTTCACTTACGTAAACCTGCGCGCTGAGTTGAATAACCGCCACCAGGAACCCGCTGAAGAAAGCTGCGAAGCACATTATCTCCACGCTCACTGCGAACACTGTGACGATCCAGCACAGGGACAAAGGTGCTCCTGCTAGAAATAAAGTTCTTCTTCTACCCCAGCGGACTGCTACTCCTCCAAAAGGTGCACCAAAGAGGGCGCCGAGGAGTGACAAGGAGGCTAACCAGGAGGCTTGCTGACCTGTTACTGGAAAAGCGTCGGCGTCTCGTTGTTGGAGAGACGCTATCGCTGGAGAGCTGTAGCCCTTGCCAAGACCTGCTGCTAGGGGTCCAAGTGAAACTGCCAGAGAGGCTAGTACCTGACCCAGGTACTCGGCTTTACGGGTGACGAAGATTTGGCCGTTGGGTCCCGCCACCTGAAAAGAAATTTAGTTTTTAGAACTGCTGTCTAGGATTGAGAATGGCGAACATAAAAGAAAGACATATGATTGGAAAGCAATTGGAGGTGGAGAGCAAAAACGGAACAACAGTTATTTTTTCATCAGTAATAATGAGTTTCATGAAAATTCATGATAACGTATTTGAGTTAGGCTTTAGTGTCAGTTGGCTGTTTAGTGAGATTTTCACTAAATGTTCACAAAACCACATCACGTGTTTCACTATACAATAGGTTTCCTCAGGCGTGTTCATTCTATACGTTTCAAAAAGTACCATTTTCAGCAAATTCAATGAAGTCATAAAATTCGTAAGCTTATATCTTACGACTAGTAAGTGCATTATTTACTGTTCTGTGCTTGAAAATAACAAACCATGGGTAATGTATCATTTACGTTCGGTGGGTGCTTCAATATTGGCTTCCAGAGCGTCAGTCGTTGCTGGTTTATCCCTAAAGACATGAGCCTCAACATGACCACAAAAGAAATAATTCAAAGGCGTTAAATCATACGATCTAGGCGGCCAATTGACGGGCGCCAAACGTGAGATAAACTTTTCACCGAATGCGGCTCTTAATTGGGCCATTGTATCGCGTGCCGTGTGGCGCCGTCTTTTTGAAACCACCTGTCAGGCATGTCCATTCCTTCCATTTTGGGCAACAAAAAGTCGTCAATCATCGGCGGCGAATCGACATTTCACGGTCATCACGAACACTGGCAGATACAGCCGCAATATTTTCTTCGGTCCTCACTCTACGTATGCGTGTTGGTGGTTTATTGTTCAATAATGTAAACTGGGTTCGAAATTTAGTCACAAGCTTCCAAATAGCTCCCTCAGTAGGCCGAGGAAACTGCCCATAAATTGGAAGAAGTGCACGATGCACTTTCTTGACCAAGCAGGAACTGAACAAGTTTGACAATGACACAAGACACAATTCATGCGAGATCTGTCAAAAACAGTGTTGCCAAAAAGATACCAGCAAAAATATCACTCATTGTATTAAAAAGAGAGGTGCATACCTTTTCAATTTTTTTATGTATAAAAGAGATATTGTCAGATACAAGATCGTAATAGTGATGATAAATATGTGATAGTGCTAGTAGATGAACAAGGCGGATTCTGGCTCACTTCAAGGTCGTGCGTCGCTGGTAAGTATTTCAGAGAGAAACTTTAGTGAGAGGAAGAGAGAAACGTGTGACGTCATCGACGCAGGATGGAACGAGTATCGTAGCGATTCAAGCATGAAACTCGATCTCCTTGGGACTCCGCATCACCCCTCGACCCCCTTGTCTCGTTCCAGTCACTAAAGTTTCTCTCTGAAATACTTACCAGCGACGCACGACCTTGAAGTGGGCCAGAATCCGCCTTGTTCATCTACTAGTGCTGTTTTGATCTTCCAAATCATTTCCTAATATCCGGAAAATGTACAGGAAAATAGGTAACTCTTGAAGATAAATTTCACTTTGTTATCACGTCTCTATGATAAAAATTGAATAAGCCCTGTTATATTCCTGTAAAGACACCTCGCATGAATACTTTGCCCACACATTAGACTGCGTTTCATTTAATGGAATAAAATGTAATCCGTAAGCCTGAATGAAAACTATATATGGAGACGACAATTATTTAAAGGGTACATATGAACACAATTTGCCAACTGAGTTGTAAATATTTAGTCAGCACTCCAAGCCATTTCAAAGAAGAAGAGTGTGAAAAAAATAATCAGATACAAAGCAAAGCAGTTTCCAGATCATTAAACATACCGTTGAAAGAATATATTCAATCAAAAGGCAATCATCTCTTTTTCGACCACAGAACAAATAATTAAAACTATAACCCGAAAGTTTGAGTTCTATGTTTTCAACACATTTAGAATGAACTGTTACCAACGACACAACAAGCAAAAATAGAAAATAGTACATATGCCCGTAGGACACAGTCATATGGTATTTGGAATTGACCAAAATGACAATACAAATTTGACGTTCGTAATAAAACGGCTGCACTCAATATTTTTCAAGTATTAACTCTACGAAACCCTTCATCACTTGGAAGGATCGATTGCAGCTTGAGAAATGGTTCTTATGCAGATTCTGTGAAACATGTTCTTCCTTACGAATCATTAGAGAGTTGTCCTGAAAATTTTGAAAAGAATATTGGATTAGATAATTTAGGAAACACTTGCAACATGAATAGCATTTTACAAGTGTTGTTCATTACGAATAACTTCAAGAAAGAGGTTTTAATGATGAACGAGAACGAGAATGTTTCCTACTTATTCACCAAACTAAAACAACTGTTCATGCAGCTGTAGCTTCGTAAGAATGTGTCATCTTTTCCTCCAACCGATTTCCTGGAGTCTTTGGAGTCCACTAGATACTCGTTAGGACAACAAGAGGATGGTTCTGAATTCTTGGGGTTCTTGTTGAATACTCTTCGTGATCAAAACAATAGCAGAATCAATACTCCTGACCACTCTGGATTGAATGATTCCTTATAGTCTACCTCGTCTTGTGTTTCTAAATCTTTTACTGGAAAAATCCTCACTTGTTTATTTTGTAGTAAATGTTCAAGATGTAGCGAAAACGTATGTGAATTTCTAGAACTTCAACTAGCGTTTCCTAATATGACTAACAAGCAGTTCGTGCAAAGCTTATTGTTGAATAATCTGAAAATGGAACTTTTAACAGCTGATGATCGACTGTATTGCCAAACATGCGCCAAACTAACTGAATGTTATAAGAAAACGAGTATAGCTGAGGCACCAGTCAATCTAATAACATTGGTGATCTTCAAACATGACTCAACCTCTGACTCAACCTCTGACATGACTCTTACGAAGGTTCGAAATAGATAAACACTTCAATGTAGCAGACCACTATTATAATATTCATGCAGTCATTGTTCACTGTGGTTCTGGCGTTGAATTTGGTCATTATTACGCCTTGGTCAAAGAAGAAACGGACTGCTTTAAGTTTGACGATAGTCGTGTCACAAAAAAACTCTACTGAAATTTATCAATGTTATTTATTTAACAACAGAATGGATATGTTTTTTTGTGGATTTCAGTTGAAAAATATACATAGTTTCATCTTTCAGTCATCATAGTTATCAAACATCATAATATAATATAAAAAGAACTTCGTTTTGTCCGTAATATATCGTTAAAAGTTTCAAGGGTGGAGTGACAGTTCCCAGCGCCCCCTGTATATGGAATCATACAACTCAACTCAAACAACTCAAGTTGCTTCTGACTAGAGGTAGAATTTTCATGACAGGAAAGTTGACGTCAATGTAACAATAAAACTGATGAATCGTCTATTGATTTTATAATGGATTGAGGTCCCGGGTCTAATTTTGGTGATGTTTGTGACGTGGATTGATTGCAGAACATTCATTATATATGACGTTCAAGTTTTGCTGGTGTTCTCACTGAAACATGCGTGGCATGAAATTGGAAATGCGAGTTATAATCCCTGAGGAACGATTGGAAATAGGGCTCAATTCATAGTTCGAATGAAAATTCACTCAGTGTGCATATTCTCGTTGTGAATGCATATTCATGGCTCAGAATGCAAGTGGTTCATACAGTGAGGGCATGTAGAACGAATATTCTACATCATCTGCTTCTGCAAAAAACATGGAAACTAGTCATAAAATAACAAAACAACTGTTGTTTATGTAGTTTGTGGAGGTGGTATTGAACTATAATTTATAGTTTGCCTTAATGGTTGATTTATAAAGATACTTTTCCTTTTTTAAAGTAGAATATCTAGGTACTTATTAATTATTTTAACTTGTTATAGGCGCTGTTGCCAATATGTGAATTAGAAACAAATCCCTTTAAAAATTAAAACCCAACATTTGAAACATCAATTTGAATACTTTTCGAAGTGAATTTGAAAAACTCATTAATTAAAGTCAACTTTATTATTTTGTTCAAACTTGCATTTGCTGTAATAACCTAAATTAAGGAACATTCCCCATTAGAAATAGAACAGTTTTTCACTACTAGCTGAAGCCTTTGCAGGTATTTTTATATTCATAGAAGCAAAACACTTGATGAAACTGTTGAAAATCTGTATTTTATATCAGGATGATTATCAAACTTTCCTTAAATAAACTTTCTTCAGTTCAACGTTTCAAAATCTCATTTACCATCTTCTGGTGATGTCTAGAGTTTAGAATTGGACTAGTCTAGTTCTAAGTTCAAATGAACAAACTTTTTCTCAAACTGAATTACATGACAGATGACAGTGTCATGTTTCTTGTCTCTCTCTTTTTGGTACCGCATATGTTGTCTACTGGTGAATTAATTTTAAAACCAATTCGAATTTTCATCAAGAAAAATTCAAGTAGTCCTTGTGCATCAGTCGGGATTCCAACTTTTTTAATTTAGTGACTTGTTTAATTATATTGACATGCATTATTTGTATCAAATCAACATCTTTCTCGACACGGCCATGCTCAGCAACAGTTTTAATTTTTCTTGTAAATTTTCACAAATTTTACTGTTATCAGTTTTTTCTCGAAGATGATAATAAATTTTATCGGAATATTGGAGTAACTCGTGTAATAAGAGTACACTTTCCTGAACACCCAAAGATACTTTCTGCATTTGATTATATCAAATCCACTCTCTAAATCATCATATACTCTGAACTCTCTGAACCCCTGAATCAGATATAGAAAGTTATATATTTGCGACGAATCTTCCAAATGGGAGACGTTGCAATGGTGCCTGATGGTTTTACTTCAGCTTTCTGCTAGGCATTAGCTAGGTTAAGTTTTTGTTTTTCCGTCGGATATCTGCCACACGTAACAACAAAATCATAAGTTCACATGAGAGAAAAGGGTGAGGTGTTTTCACCTGTACTTGAGCATATTATATGCACCTTTCCGGAATATTTTTACCGTTCTGATTTCCACCACGGAGTATGTTTTTGTGGAGCTGCTTCCGGACTTTATCTGCAGGTGGCGCAATGGTACCTCCTTCCTTTATGGCAAGTTAGCAGACAGTCGTTTGAAGTATTTTATATATTTTAATTTGAAATTTTGATATTCTATTATTATATATAATAATAAATAATAAATGCTTTTATTGAAAGGTTACTCAGTACAAGAGATACTAATCTAACCTAACAAATGGCAGAATTAAACGTCTGCGCATGATAAATCAAGGCAGAAATTGCTCTTCCATCCAACCAGTTTAATCGGCTTAGACAAAATTTACGAAAAACCATTATTTTACGGTGGGCTTAGCGAAGGACGACACATAATTGTCAGCGTTGTCTCCGTCTAAAAGCCGTGTTCAAACGATGCCAGTTGAAGAGACAATTGACAGAGGACAGCTGACTGTTATAAAATTATTGGGTACATGTAAACTCCTCTGGCCAACAAACAAAATTATCGAATTCAGGACGATACCAATCTACATGAGATCCAAAAGCGACCAATGCCTCCTGATAAAGTCACTGTTTGCCTGGCCATCACTGTCAATGACGAGCACTATAGGTCCATGATCACCAAATTATTTTAGCCTGAATTGGATGATATAGACATCAACGACATGTGGTTACAATAGGTTCAATTCAAGTTCTAGGACGTCAGGATCATGCGCAGTTGATATAGAGCGTTCTGGTTTATTGAGGATAATTTTGGATTGATGAATCCTCTGTTCGGGTTTCAACTGCGAAATGATCCTAAACTGTCTTGAACCGTCCCGAATCGTTCTTGCTCTCGAGGCTGAACCGTTGAGAACTGTTCCCGTTGCTCATGCGCATTTATGTGGAAATTTGTTTGGGCTATTTCCTAGGATGTTTTTCATTTATTTGATTCAACTAGTTGATGATTAAGGTTAGATAACATTTGAACGAACTACAAGGATACGCTACATAACAAAATGGACATGATCAACAGTATTTTCTCGTCTTCATCTCTTCATATATATGAAGAAATAGTCTCTGTGCCACCTGCACAGAGACTATTTCGGACTGTTTGAGATTTTTTGCTTGTACGTATCATGTCTTGCGCAGTTTCCAAACAGTTTCGGATGATGTTAGAACCAGAAGAAACCTAGATTATGCCACATTGGATATTCTACACGAGCGATTTGAGGGCATAACTTCCATCTCACGTAGAGGTTGAGTGAACTGCCACCGAGATCGTGTAAGTTGACCCCGTTAGACTTTTTCTTGTGGGATTTTCTTGAGTCACAGATGTATGCGAATAAGCCACAAATCACAGCGGTCCTCAAAGACAACATAACCCATGTCATCGGTCAAACTCAGCCTGAAGTCATGGAAAATTGGACATAATGACATTAGTAGGTCTTTCAAACGAATAAAAAAATTGAATGATATTCCACACACACTTTGTTTCATTTAAATTCAGAGACCCTATATTTTGATTATGTATATTCTATCATCCAAAAACATTTACGTTTGCTCTGTGTTCTGGCAATTTCTGTACCCAAAAGGGACTTCGAATGAATGAATAAATTTAAAATCAGAATCGAATTTGAGTAACCTACAGCGATTTGAAAAAAATAATCATAAACCATGTGTTTCAAGGATTTTTTAGCAGTTTTGCCAATACATATTTGATAGGGTGTTTGTACTACAAAAAAGAGGAGTTAGAAATATGTGTAGAGTTGGATTCAGGGATTCCTGTCGACCTTTATTCAGAAAGCATAAAATCTTGACCTTGCCTTCCATACTTCTATTGGAAATGTTATGTCGACAATAAAGTACATTTTGATTTGATTTGATTTGATTTGATTTGATCAGTACTTGTGCATCTCCATAAAAAAACCTAATTTTCTCGGACTAAAGTACTCCAGCTAAACTAAGCGCAACTACACTAAATCCGTTTTTTTTCGCCACCGAGACGCAATCCTCTTTGCCGCCTAATCGGCCTAAGACAACTACCTACTCACCGTCCGAGTGTAGAAATCTCCGGTCATAACTGATAAGAAGCCACGCGCAATCACCGCCTACATTGCGCGGCAACCGGAAACATCCCTATTTCATCCCTCGGGACGCTATTTCATCTCCGGTACGGCGAGATTTCCGCTCTGCAACGTGCACCCCCGGAATAGTGGCCGACAACATACTCGCTCACTCACGATTTGCCCGATTTTCACAGCAGTGCGAACTGAGGTTCGACGAAGGGTTGTCGTGCGCAGGGGTTGTTTCAGGACAGGGTAGGTGCAGCCGGCCAAGCACTTTCGCTTTTTGGAGCTGATCAGGGGAACGCTAATTGTTCCAATTCGAACGTATACTAATTTCAAGCCGCGATTTAGTATAGATGATACAAAGCATTTAGTAGATAACATTACAATAGGTACTCTTCCTGATAACGCTAAATTAATGTCGTTTGATGTCCAAAATGTATTTCTCGGTATTCCGCCAACTGAAATAACCGTGCTTAGACAAGAAAGATCTTTCAAATAACTATAGACCAGTCGCTTCGCTATCAGTGACATCAAAAATCATAGCGAAAGCCGTAAACCACCATATCCATAAATATTTAGAAGGCTTCAACATCTTTTATACATTTGGATTTCAGGACATCAGCTAGGATTCACATCTTCACCGACAGCAGAAGGTTGCATGCCTTAATGAGGATCTAGGGGTGATTTCAAATTGGGGTTCAATTCAGTGCCACGAATACCCAGGCATCGGTTTTCTCCAAAATGTCTTGGCCCAGTCATGTCGCTGGAATTGCGAAGGCTTCTTCTCAAAAGCTTGGAATACTGCTCCGAATCGGAAAACTGTACACACCTCAGCAACTTTTGATGCTTCATAAAGCTGAGATCCGACCTTCTTTGGAGTATTGTTCTCATGTATGGAGCTACGCCCCTGAGCATACCCTAAAGCTGTTGGATTCCATCCAGAAAAGAGCCATACACCTGATTGGAGATACGAACCTTGGTGCAACGTTGATAGTCTGAAACATCGAAGAAAGATTGGAGATTTGTCTTTTTTCTATAGATACTTTCACGGGAGGTGTTCGTGACTTGGTACATTTGATTTCACCAAGCGACGGCCTGTGGGTGCTCATTGTTGTTGTTGTTGTATTTATTCNAATAATAAAAATAACAATCAATAAATAACTGTATGAATATAAATAAATAAACATATGCCTATCAAATGAAGCAGGCACTATACAAAACACTACAAGCGACATACTGATGCAAATTTCAAAATCACAGACAAATCATTATAAAACAACATAATATAATTATATACAATTGAAAGGTTTAACACAAAAATAGAAAGGAAAAGCAGTGAGAACGAGTTATATCAAGACATCCCTTTGCAGGAACTCATCTAAGCTATAATAACCCCCGTTCGTCAATAAATCTTTGATATGGTTCTTGAAACTTACTAACTGTAGGCACATATGCTGTGGTGTAGGTCTTTGACATCCTGTGACAATGAATTAAAAAGTAAGATGCCGTTATACCTAAGAGATTCCTTGAATGTCGAAGTTTTGTGTTTGGGGATGGTCAAGTGTTTAGTTCGTGTTGCATAATTATGAGTGACTGACTCGTGATTGAACAACTATGTTGTATCTCACATGACGCAGAACTCTATAAATATAGATACAGGGTAAAGTTAATATTTTATATTTTGAAAATAAAGCTCGACAGCTATATCTCGGTGTAATGTCAAATATGATTCTCATGATTCTTTTTTGTAGAATAAATTCACGTATTGCACCAGCAGAAGTACATTTTGAGCCAAGTGAGATTAGGCCAAAGAAAAATAGACCGTCTTGATTCCATCTAAGTCTAGCAACTGTTTGAGCTGGCGTATTGCAAATATTGATTCAATTTTTTACACACATGATCAATGTGAGGCTCCCAAGACAAGGTTTTATCTAAGTACATACCTAGGAGTTTGGCTGTATCAGATAGTTGGACGTTATTAAGATTCAATGTCTTTCTCAAGGAGAAACCCAAGTGAATTATTTGATTTGCATTCAGTTTCAGTTGGTTTCTGTCACACCAAGAAACTAACTCATCTATTGTGTTACCAGACACTGATATGGTAGTGTCATCTACGAACATTACGGTGTAACCATGTTTGATATATTTCGGGAGATCATTTATATAAATTGCAAACAGCAGCGGTCCTAATATTGAATATTGTTTTGAGATTCGGCTCAGTACACCTCGAACGTCACTGTTCAAGAACTCTTTCATTTGTAGAACTACGTTTATGTGGAATAAACTTCCTGAAAACGTTTTTCCAAATGAATTCAATCTCTAGCGACTCAAATACAGTGTAAATCGCTACTGTCGCACAGTTCAAGGATTTTCCTGTAGTGCTTGTGTTTTGTCCATAAAAAAAATCACCATGAAACATTGTCAGCCACTTTCAAACATCAGACTCTCTTTCCGCAATTACTGCAACAACCAGTATATTTTTTGAGTATATGAGAATGACGTTTCATTACAAATCAGAAAGAATTCGAGAGAAGCAGTCAAATTTTTGTCAATGTATATATTGTGGCAGTTTACATTGCTAATATCCCACAAACTCTTATTTTTCAAGAAATAGGCGTATTTAAATTCGGCAGTCGACCATTTAAATCACACCAAATTATTTCAATTTCATCCGATGTCCGGAAAATTCCGCCGAACTTGTTCGGGAAAATCGGATGTACTATAATAATAATAATGTTTGTATCTTAAACTTTATGCCTCTGGAGAGAAGGATCTCCATCAGTCCTTGAGGGTTGTGGAAGAGTACTCGCATGCTATCGGTATGAAATTCGGGATAGACAAATCTGCAATGATTCATCTCAATAGAGGACGATCCGGGGACTACGGAGAGGATGTGCAGCTCGTAGATGGAAGTATCCTACACCATCTGGATGCCGGAGAGACGTATACTTATCTCGGGGTGGAACAACACCACTCACAAGAGGTAACAGCAGTGATGAACCCTCTTCGCGGCAATTATCAGCACAAACTTCGAAGAACAAAGTTGCTACAACAAATATGCTTGCCGTTCCAATCTAACTCGACGTAAAGACCCGACGTAAAGACATCTCTATAGGAGTTTGCATCCCAAATCGTCCTTCCACGGTTGTACTTCCCCCGACAACAGGGAGGACGTGGACTTTTGAGATTGGAGTGTCTACATGACAGAATGGTACTGGATACAGCCTGTAAAGTCGTCAGGAGTTCGGATCCCCTTCTCTGCATGGTCCTTGACAATGAGAGAGCAGGAATTGGAGCATTTATCTTATCTGCCGCGAGGCGCCCGAGACCCTAATGCACTTGCTATCAGCATGTCCGGCATATGCGGTCTCGGCCTAAATCCATCGACATAACGCGGCCCTAAGAGTGCTATATTATCATCTACGGCACTCTTACGGTATCGACGAGACACCGGTGTTGCCCTACGCTCCGGGGGATATTGAATCCTTTGTGGGGAACGAGAAGTGCCGAATTTATTGGAACTATTCGTTCCCCACCCTCAGGCTCATACAAGCTAATAAGCCTGATGTAGTCCTTCTCGACCACCAGAGCAAAACAATGTTTGTCGTGGAGTTTTCAGGTCCTGGCGAGACGAATATCGTCAGAGAAGAGAAGGAAAAACGGATGAAATATCGAGATTTTCTCTTCGAACTCCACAAACTCTATCCAGATCACTCTGTCAAGATGGTTGTTCTGATTATTGGAGTCCTTAGTAAAATGATGTCCTCTCTACTCTCGAATCTCAAAATCATATTGTCTTGCCGCATTAAGTCAGAAATCTTAGCCGCACAGATGCAGAAGGCTGTCATTCTTGGCTCAAGGCGCTTGCTCAGGGCACATGATTCTCGGACCCAATGATTACTTACCCCACGGTGTGGGGAGTGGTCATTGGTTGATAATGCTGGCGCTCCCTCCCGAATGTATCGGTGCTTCGGGGGATAGGGCCTGACCAGCGCACAATACGGTGAAAAAAAATTATTCCAATCAGATGAAATGATAATTTCGGAAGTTTTGAAGGTTATAATGATAACCAGGGCATCCGAGTGTCATAACTCACGTTATCTTTTTGCTCTTGAATTCTGATATGTCATAGTAACATTCTTTACATAGAAGGTTTTAAGTTTTCTTTTGAAAACATTGACGTTGTCTTCCAATTTTATACAGGCAGGCAAATGATTTAGAAATTGAATTCCTCTGCATATTGGGCTTCTCTCATACAGACTAGTTCCATGTTTAGGAGGCCTAATAAGTTTTGAGGATCAAGTTGGGTAGTCGTGATAATCAGAGTTGAGAGAAAAGTTATGATAATTACTTTTTGCATATAGAATGCATCTGTAGATGTATATAGAGTAAAATGTAAGAATTCCATGTTCTTTGAAATGATTACGACATGTTTCTCTATAGTCTAGGCCGAAAATTAATCGTATACTCCTCTTTTGAGAGACGAAAACCCTGGATTATCCCACTGCACCACCCCATAGAATAATATAAGAAATGTGGGAATGATCAACGCTGATCAACGGACTCGTCACAAAAATATTTCTCAGTTGCAATATAGCAAAGTAACTACTATTAAATTTCTTGCAAATGTGATTGACATCGCTATTCCATCCTATATTATTGCCACAAATACTCCAAATTTGGTGAATTTCGCGAAAGAGACTTCACTATCATTAACTGAGATTCTACTATTCTCAGATATTTCTTTTCTGGTGAAAAAGTGCATAAAAACTGATTTAGCAGAATTTACCATCAGAGTATTCATCCCACACCACGTGGTAAATTCCTGTGTCAGCATTTTTGGTATCATCAGCATATAGAATTAGGTGTTTAGTGCTGACGTATTTGGGAAGATAATTTAAATATAGTAGAAAAATTAGCGGACCAAGAATCGATTCTTGAGGTACACCAGCTCCCACATAATGTGGGAGAGATCTCTGATTGTCAATTCTTACAATAATTTTTCTGACCTCAAGATATGAAGCCAGCCACTAAAGAAATTTGCCACGGAATTCCAGTTCACTTAGTTCGTTAATTGTTATATGAGTATTGATTGATTCGAAAGCTTTAGACAGATCAAAAAATAAGGCACCTAATGCTTTTTCATGTTATATTCATTCTGTGACCAAGATAATGGAATAGCAAGAAGATAAGACAATCGACGAAATCGAGCAAATCAAATCAATTTGCTGAGTATTGTCCAAAATCTATTAGGTTTGTCAGATCTTAGTTATTTTCCTCTCAGTACTTTGAATATTTCATTACAAAATATATGTACCAGCCAGACATGAACAATTGAAAGTTCTACAAAATACACACATCGGAAAAGTCTAGGAATATTTTTAAAAATGGCAATATTTTTTTTTAGATCGCTTTAAGGAAAAAAAAGTTGACGGGTGATTATTTAACGAATGTAACTTACAACAAAATTTATTAAATGGTCAAAAATACTGAGTGCGCATATAAGCAAAACTAAAAATAAATATGGCTCTTCTTTGGCACCCCGAAAAAAAAATCATAATACAAAAAAAATTGAATCAGTACAAAGTATGGCCTCCACACTGGTTTATTACGGCCCTACATCTATCGTGCATCGACAAAATGAGATTGTCAATGTCTTGTTGAGGTACATTTTCCCATTCAGCGATTAAAAGCTCTCTCAATTGAAACGTTGTGTGAATGTTCCCCATATGCGGAGTAATTCTTCGTTGAAGCATGTCCCACACATGCTCGATGGGATTTAGGTCCGGTGATTGTGCTGGCCATGGCAATACATCTACTCCTTCGTTGGTGAGCCAGTCAGTCACTAGACGCGCGACATATGGACGAGCATTATCGTGCATTAGGTGGAAGTTTTCACCAATAGCACCAGCAAACGGACGGACGATAGGTAGAAGAATGGTGTCGAGGTACTGTCGCGCTGTGAGGGAGCGATATGGAAAAACGAGATCGGTTCTGCCGCCGATCATGATTCCGCCCCATAGCATTACTGTACCACCTCTGTATGTGTGGACTTCCTGAACGTGTCTCAAACGTTCATTATTTCCAGGTCGTCTCCACAGTCGTACTCGACGAGAATCTGGATGAAATCCAAATCTGGATTCGTCTGTAAACAAAACTGTGGCCCAATCATTTGCATCCCAGTTTTGATGTTCTTGACACCACTCTAATCTTCTACCGCGATTGCCTCTCGACAAAGGTGGACATCTAAGTGGCCTTCTGTTGTGGAGATCTGCTTCATGCAGTCGATTTCTGACAGTATCACGACCAATGGTTACCTGGTGCGTCTGCTGCAACACGTTAACCAACTCAGGTGCTGTGATTGTCGGTTGTCTTCTTGCGGTTAAGACCAAAAATCGGTCTTGAACTGCAGTTGTAGCGCGTCCTCGCCCTGGATGTTGTTCGGCTGGACTGCCAGTTTCACGGAAACGCCGCCACAATCAACTGATAACACTTTGGGAGACCCCCAAACGAAGAGCTACATCATTTTGTCGCATGCCACCTTGAAGAAGCCCTACAGCTCTATTCATCTCAGCCAATGGTAAGTGATGGCGTTCCATGTTAAAGCACAATATTTCCAGTTTAATTGCTGAGCAAGAACTGCATAGAATGTACAAACTCGATACTTTCATATTATTCATTTTAGCCGAAAACCTACAGTTTGTAAAAAACTTGATAAAAGATTAGTTACCGTTTTTGCAGGCTTTGTTCAACCCATAGAAATCTACAGGGTGGTCGAGTGTACCAATTTAATCGAAATTAAACGACCTCATGCATTTATTTTTACGATATTTAGTATGTTATAAAAATATCCCTAGATTTTTTCGATGTGTATAGTTATATCCATTTTCAAAATATGGATTTTGATACGCCAACAACCAAGTGGATTAGGCAATTAAGATAAATGTCACAAAAACGAGTCCGAAAAATTTAAATCCACGCCCGACGAAACTCCTAATGGAAATGTTTCCCTTCCCCATTAGCGATTAGGTCTCCATCCAGCCCGGCATAATTCTCGTGCCCGCATAATCCCCCCGACCCCCGATCTCTGACAACTCCATCCAATTTGGACAAACTCGCAAAAACTCTACTTATCGGAACAGATTGGAAAGCGGATCGTGTCCCAAATTGAAATCGATTCCTCCTCCCACGAAATTCTTATTCATATTCTCGCGATCCACTCCTTCTAGATAGAGAAAAAACGTGACTGTTCGGGGATTCAATGTAGTTGATACGGAGGAGCAACACAATAATGAATTTGTTGGCGCGTCTGGACCACCGCATCGCATCGGGGACTCTTCGGTCGATATGGACCCCCTGCGTCCCGACCCATTTGCAGGGCCGACTCCAAGGATTTGTAGACTACGGGAAAACCTCTTGACGATCGTTTTTCCAAAGTAACATTGTGGAAACGCTGTTTCTTTTTATTACACGCTTTATTACACGCTTTTTACACGCTTTATATTATTAGCTTCACCTGTATGTATGTGTGTTGTTTGTCAGCAGGCAGATGGCGCTGTACCTCCTTTCTAAAATTCGAACTCATTTTACATGTATTTCTGCATTTGAAAAAAGTATTTTTTTTATTAACACGCGTGCCTGTAACCCTCTTTTGCGCACATGCTGCCTTGGTAGCTGATTTTCAGGCTCCCTCTCCGGAATCGGAAAATATCAATTTTTCAATTCATATTCATTTTTCCAAACAATATACGGCTGATTGATTTCAAAATTTAGCTAAAATAAATATAGTTTGAAAAGATTAGAAAAACACGCTTTCATAGAATACGAAACTAAAAAATGAAAAATAAATACAGTTTCAAAAATTAAAAATCAGGCTTTTATAGAACATCGAACTAAAAAGTTGAAAATATTTTTTTAAATAACCTTAAAACAATAACGAACGAAAAATACTAGTACTATTGTGAAAAAAGCGTGGGCGCTTTGTGCCATATTTTTTGTATATCAAGCGCCCGTCGCTTTTTTCACGATAATACTAGTATTTTCCATCGGTTGGGACTTCCATTGTCTAATATAATATAAATTGATTTGAAATTCGTGAAAAAAAAAATTAAAAAGATTAACCAAAAATAACAATTATTAAACAAAAAACTGAAACTACAAAGAAATGATATGTAAGCAACAACCAAAAAATAATTGAAATATTAATAAAAGCTGAAAATTGAAAAATAAAAATATTAACAAAAAATGAAAAATTAAAATTAAAAGATTCCATACCAAGTTACGTCACCACGTTTCGATTGTTAGTATCCACAATTGTCTTCAGGTGATAACTGTTATAACAGTTATAACAGTTATTCCTGAAACGCCATCCAAAGAAAATATATTTTCATTTAAAAGGCATACATTTTATTTGTGTAGTAGGAAGGCAAAACTTATGGTAAGTGTTACTGACAAGTTTAATAAATAGATTATGAATGTATTATTCAAACGTAATAGCTTTTCTTGGCAAATTTTGTAATTTAGCCTTCTCATTTGTCACTCGAATAATTTTTTATTGCAAAGGAGTAAACCTATAAATGCCAAGCGGGATAAACTGAAAAATGAAACGCTCGTGTCCCATAACAAGATCGAAAAATGTGGCAACCGCGAATTTGCCTAGCGAAAATTCCGGCATCTCTGGCGAAATTGACAAAAGCGTTGCTTTTTTTTGCCGCTGCCTGCTTGGGTGACGCCATTTTAGTAAGACTGTTTTTGTCGTTTTTTATTTAAGAGGTGTGACCAGCCGGTCTGCAAATCAAATTTTTTTTGTACATAGTAGATCAGGGATATACAAGGTAATTTTATTTTTAGTTAAATGTAGGTTACGTTCGTTAATCTCTTGATTTATTTTTACAGCAATCATGGGAGTAGAAGTAGAAACTCTTTCACAAGGCGATGGTAAGTTTATTATTCATGATTTTTAATTAGTGAACTTTCAAAAATGTTATGTTACACTGTTTCGCAAATCGATACATGCATAATGCGACACTGCTGCTCTTGACCTTGACATAGTATAGATTTAAAGACCTTTTATGGCTGATTTTCAAAGTTATAAACAGTAGTAATTATCTTCATAAGTTAATTTATGTCAAGTGTCGATTGGTAAGAGTTTGCAAATTGTATAGTTATTAATACATGGCTGTACAATAGACGTCTGCCATATACAGTGAGCACCGAAAATGAAACATTGAATATTCTCAAGGAATTCATTCATGAGGCTATTCACTACATAACTTCATTTTTGTTCATACAATCTACTTTTTTTTCAATTTTCATCTTTTAATGGCTTGTTCACATAATTTTAAAAATGATATGTCACTATTTGAAATACGAAACTGTTATGTAGTGAACAGTAATATGAAAGAATTCATTATTAAATTACATTTTTAGTATGTCACGTTTGTACTTTCCCTATTCAAATTCTAACGTCGATGGTCACCAATAGCTATGAAAGTTGGAATTGTGATAGAAAGGTGTCCTCTTTGAATTTAAAATTGACCTATTTCTACATTTTTTTCTACTGGTTTTGTACTGTGATTATATTGCACAGTTTTTATGTCGGTGTTGGTGGTTTCACCACCAATCTTTGAAACCGACAACTGCGTTAGCAGAAATGCTATCGGAAAATGAATCTACCTTTATCTAAAAAACTTGGCAAGCTCGCTTGGGTGTCACACCAATAGGTGGTTCCACTTATGTCTCGCTTGCGTTCATGCAATTATTTTCAGTTAAGTACTCTTATTGGTTTTCAAGGGCCACCTGCCTGGTACTAATGATGCCCAACAGGCTGAAACAGCTGTCTACTTGTGGCGTTTAAATTAAAATCAAATTGGGAATGATTTCAAATCAATACATTATGATTCATTCAATAATATCTTCTTATGGAATAGAGCTGCTAATTTATATTATCACTATATTTCTTTTTTGTTATATATGTTGAGCTGATGTTTTCTAATTTCAGACTATTTCATGTATTTTTTTAATATTCCAGGTCGTACCTTTCCCAAGGTAGGTCAGACAGTCGTCGTACATTATACGGGTACTTTACAAAATGGACAAAAGTTCGATTCGTCCAGAGATAGAGGAAATCCATTCAAATTCCGAATCGGAAGAGGCGAAGTAATCAAAGGATGGGATGAAGGTGTTGCCCAAGTAAGTATTTCTTCAATATCCTTGTTAGATTTCACTTGCGTTATCACACTGTACCAAAATGCTCATTAAAAATTATCAATATCATGATTATTACCCACTAATATATCGTGATGAATACTATCCTTGCGCTCTAATTGACTTTTTTGGAGTCGAAAGGCTGAAAACCGGGAAAATCTGACTGAATCGCTAATTTATACTAACATCCTGTCAAAGAAGCCCCATACTAATAATCTCACTGTTGCAGCTCAGCGTAGGACAGAGGGCGAAACTGACTTGCTCTCCCGATTACGCCTACGGATCGAGAGGGCATCCCGGAGTAATCCCGCCAAACGCAACCCTCATCTTTGACGTGGAACTGTTAGAGATCGAATGAACCAATCAGAATAATCTTTAGTAAGCAATCGAACCATAATTAGTTATCTTCGGGGTTATTATTGCATTTAGGTCAGTTTTTCGAACATTTTTTTTACGTTTTTAGTAATGGTTAAGCATTCGATATTGGAATATTTAGACAGTTTGACCGGAGCTTTATTTTTGTTCAACTGCTCAGTTATAGGTGTTGTGGTGTTCCAATAAAAGATTTCAAGTGTCAACCGCATAGTGAGTTGTTTTTTTATTTCATTTACCTTGTTGATGGTGATTTCTGTGAACGATGATACTGGATTTAACCAGACAAGTGCTCATTTGATTACTAATCTATCTACTCAAATTTGGAGTAGAGCCTTGAAGATAATAGCACGACCAGCTGTAGAAAGCACTCGCATATAATAAATAGAAATCATAAAGCTTCAAATCCTTTTTGTGTCATATATTAATATTAAAATACTGAAAATGAAGGAAAATTAGTTGCATCATTCAAAATCATACATACTGTAAGCGTTTCGTTCTTTTTGAAAATGCCTCAACCAATCACGTTTGCTTTGAGCAGAAAAAGATTTATCGAGGTTATCAAAGAAGTGCTGAAAGTAACGGCCATCTTTAAAAAAAGTAAGGGCTTGAACTATTACAATAAGTTACTTGACTCTTGAAGATAAACAATATCGGGCATTCTGAATACTCATTCTGTTTTTATCAACATAATGTTTTATGTAAACAAGACATTGACATTGCCATCTATTTTGGTACACATTTAATACATAATTTTGACTACTGGGTGTTAGATGCCGTGTATCAAATATTGTATATCCTTAGACAATGATTGTAGCATACAATAACTTCAGTTCGCCTTCTCACATTGATAACACAAATGCCTTTGTCAAAAATGTATATAATGTGAATAGTGTTACGGATAGTGTATGTACAAAGGTGTTACTATCGCAACACGTCATAGCAATAAAAATGTTTCCTTAATATAGAACTTGCATTGCCTGAAAGTGTCGACAAAGATTCTTGTTTTTATCAAAATATACACAAGAAAGGAAATCCATATAAAAATATCATTTACTGCAGTGTATGAAAGTATCGCTCGCTATTGTAGTAGTGAACACTCTAGCTTCAGCTACTAATTAGTAGATGGCGCAGTAAATGTCGCGAATGTCGTTATTAACTGAAATTTGTAAAATGCAAATTAATATCACTGAAAACCATACACATATCGATTATGAAATGTTTTCATTAAACAGTTGTGTTACAATTTCAAGATCTGAAATACGAAGCAGATGACCAGATGAGTTTTACTCTTTGATGAAAGTACGGGGTTGCCTAAAAAAACGTTTCAAAGCTACTCCGTCTGAAGTGATTATTGAATTGATAGGTTGAAAACAGGTTGTTGACAAATTTTATCAAGATAGCCAGAGAACATACGGCCGTTTATGGGAAACTTGAAGATTGTTGAGACTTTGAAACAATTTAAAACATAAATCACTGTTAGTTTATGTTGTATTCCTACTATTTTTTCGAATATAACCTTGAACAGCAAACTCGCAGTAATGTTTCATAATTGAATTCAATTAGCATTTCATTCATACTCGAATAATAGTAACTACGTCTTCTAAACAATGTTTACCAACCTAATTTTAGTGATTAGCACTGCAACAAGAAAATTGAACCAAAATGAGTGAAAAATCACTGTTTTATTTAACCAAAAAAGTATGCTCGTCTAAAAATATACCCCTTTCAATTTAAAGAAGAATCCTATGGCTGGGTTTGAATCAAATAAGCGAAGTAATATTAGATTTAACTCATTTTCGAAAAAGTCGTGATAATGAGTTAATTGAGTGATTTCATATCAAAATATTATCCAGTTCAATGTAATTGTTTCGAGAGAGCTTTTTTTCAGGTTGTGTCTGAAAGCTACTTTTTGCATGATTTTTGTAAAGAGTTTAGGATATTTTATATCCATAGGATATCCTACTTGAAAACTTCGTATATCCGTCTCATGTTCAAAGGATGTCTTGTGAATATCCATAAAGATGTCGGATGGATATCAATATATATCCCACTTCGTATATCTATAGGATATCCGTTTCACATTCCACGGATGTTCTATCAATATCCATAAAGATGTCCAATGGATATATACTCTATATGTCTCTGTGGATACGTCATTTATCCTAAGGATATTCATTTCAATGTCCTATTATTATCCATAGAGATGTCTAACTTGAATTCTTCGTATATCCTAAGGATATCCGTGTCCTATCCTATCAATATCCATAAAAATGTTCAATGGATATACAATATATTATGTCCAACTTGGATACTTCGTATATCCTTAGAATATCCGTTTCATGTTGAATGTCCAAAGAAAAAACGGTATATGTCTCACTTGGATACTTTCATATCCAAAGTATATCCTTCTCATGTCCAATGAATGTCCTGTGAATTTCTATGTATCAATATGTATTCAGCTTAGATACTTCGTATATCCCTAAGATATCCGTATCCCACTTCGATACTTCATATATCCTTAGGATATACACGTGCGAGGTAAGACCTCGCACAAGTTTAGACTTTTGCGAGTTGTCGTTCTTACGGGGCGACAGCTGGTTAACGAAAAAACAGACAAGATTTTAATAGACAGATATCGGTTTTATGTTCCACGGAAGTCCTGTCAATATCTATAAAGATGTCCAGTGGAAATACAAAATGCGCAATAATAAAAAGTTCCAAATGACAGTATGTAATTGTTGAAGCAACTGTTCGTTATTTATCCATAGGGGTTCAAACCCCCTAAAATGTTTATGAGCTGAGCAAATTTCGTGGCTTTATATGAAAAAAATGCTCTTACGATAAGAAAGCCATGGATCCATTTTCACCACAAAATGTTAAACAGTTCATGAAATATTGAATATTGCACATTTGCATTAAGGTAAGTTATTTCCAATTGAGTTATTGTTGACCACAGAATATGTGGTTCAACTTATGACCTTCCTTATAGATAGTTACATCCTGTATATTAGGATAACATAAGAGGTTTTCCAGTAGTCCGGAAATTCGCCTGATGATAGAGAATTAATAAATATATAGAAAAGTGGGCGAGATAAAGTGCAGCTAAATGATTTAGGAAAGTAGGGGGAATCCCATCGGGAACAGGGCTTTTGTTGGTATTTAATTCATGTAGTGTTTCATAGATTATCGCGATTTCAATGTGATAGTTGGACCATCATGGCCATCATATGGATGTAAGGATTGATTTGTATAGTCGGAATGAAATTGGTTAGAAAAAAAGTTAGCGATATCGATCCCATTGGCAGCAGTACGGTCACCAGGAGTCGTTGTACCTAGTAGGTATATAGTGTTATTTTCCCTTTTGCTGCTTACAAATTTCCTGAATGATTTAACATTGTTAATAATATAATGTGATATGCGTTGGATTAATACATACAGCTGCCGGTGATAAGCCCCTCCTTCAATACAATAAGTATGTATGTACGATTTCTCTCGCCGGCCATGACTCAACCCTAAATTAATAACCCAACCTACCTAAATTAATAAAGTTCCATGTTTGAGATTTTTTAAAATCGATCGACTCATCCTTAATTCAGATGGTGCGCTTCACAAATCCAGTCTCATACCTTTGCAAGTTTAAGTGAAAGTAAAGAATAATTAATTCCTTCCTTCCACGAGTCTTCACTTTCTCTCATTGATGTTTTGGTAGTATTATACGCGGTCTTGGTGTTCTTATAGCCTTGTAGCAACGCAGCAGGAATCTTATGTAAAATATTTCAGTTGGAACGTATTGTTTTTTTTTTTCATGTGACGAACGAATCCATACAGTATTTTGTTGTGTCTTGCCTCCATCAAGCTTTTCTGTGTATGTATCGTCTATGTTACGACATTAGGTGAGTACAAATTTGTCCTATTTTATGTTATACAGAATGAATCATAAGGAGCAACTGCAGGGGGTTGGTAATTGTTAAATTTTATCAGAAAAAGTTTGTAACTTTGTTTTTCAAGAAAAATAATGTCGAAGTTGATCGCTTTTTGTTGATTAACAGTAGAGACTAACTTATTAGAGTCGACACTATAATGGCATTTACATAAATACGAAAACAATCAATCAATTTTTTGTGGGAATTGTGTATGCTCTTCTCGAGTAATATATGCAATTTTATTGGAAACGACGTTTTTTATTAATTTACATTGTCAAAAAAATTGAAAAAGATATTCGTTATCCTATTCCTATTCGTGAAAGAAAAATTTCTCAATATATCCTCTTTATTTAAATTGAAAATATATACACCAATATTCAATCATTCGGTTATTGATATAAACATATTCACCTCCGACATTAAATACCGTTGAAATAATGTATGAATATCAAATAAAGAAATCCAAAAGTCGTATTACGAATAAAAGTAATAGATATCACGTAAAAAAACAATTTTACATTGTTCATAACAAAAAACAACTATATGTTAGAACTGACCGATATTTGATAAAAATCCAAAATAACATATTTAAAAAACACACTTTAGTGTGGCATTTTCACTTGAAATATACTTTGGTGATCCTACTAATAATATCGCTCTCTTTTTTTTAACAAAGTAACGACGTAATCTACAGAACAAATAATATAATTTAAATGAATTCATTAAAAACAAGATCGGGAGTATACAAGTTGACTTGTGGTTCTGGTCCGAAATTGTATATCGGACAAACCGGAAGAATAAAGGAGCTTAGAAGTAGTTTTATGAATGGAAAGACAAATTCAAGATTTGGGAATCTCACATTGAAGTTTGTTTTTTCAGTACGTCAAAAACCAACTAATTTAAGTCGTTGTTTCTGAAAATCAGCTAAAAAAAACACCGGATTAAGTGGTTACCGTCTTTTCCAAATCGAATTGTACTATTTTTGAGGAAAAAACTTTTTGGCTTTTTGACAAAAAAGAAAATGTTCCGTTCGAAATTAATTGTTTCTTCCTTCCTTCGAAAGTTCCCAATATTTTTTGTAACAAGACTATGACGTAGAGAACCATAAAGCTTTTTTCCAAAAACTATTTTCTAACTAGACTGAAAGATATGCCTCGTTCAAATCAAAATCAAAATTGTTTTATGCGTTTTGTATCAATAGTTTGTTTTATAATTTCAATAAGGTCGCTGTTGTATACATTTGTTTCTGGAGGTCAATAAACAATCTTCTGATATATTGAAAAGAAATGACGTTTGTTAGTATCGCTAAAACTCGAGAGAACAGCTAAACCGATTTGGCTAACTTTAATTAGAAGTCTTGTAGAAGTCCAAGGAACTTTTAAACGGTGAGAAATTTAATAATAAATCATATTCAAGGAAAATAAAAGACCAGCATACGTGACATTTGGCTGTATGGTGATTTGTGCAACGTGAACAAAAGAGCATGTCACTCTTATGCAGTCACTCTAATCCAATTTTTTGGTCTATCATTTACTCTTATATTTTCAACTTTTTCAGTTTATTGTCAAACATGTCATTCATTTTCTTTTGGCAGAATTGCGTTCTAAAGTGACTGAAAATTGTACGTTTCAAATTGATTATAGTGCTAACAAATCTGCCACAATTGGAGACATGAAAATCATTTGTCTAAATTGTAAGGCGTTGAAATAGAGCGTGGTTGTGCAGGTGGAAAAGTAAAATTGCCACAATTGGTTCCACCACCTGATCCATTACGCTCATTAGTTAATGGAATGGAAAATTATTCTAAACACTTCTTGGCCATCATTCAAAAATATGATAATTGTTGACGTCGTTTGGCGCAACGCATATTGCACAAAACATCACATATATATTCAGTGGGCATACTTAAAGACTGTCTGTAAATCAAAGTATCTAAAAAGACAATTCGTTCAGGCGAATCTCAACTCACCTACCTTGAAGATTAATGTTCTGACACCCATCAGAAAACAACTACTCCTCTGGCTAATACCACGAAGGAATTAGGCATATCGGATAAGCGGTTGGTTACCTCGTTCACGGGCAGATGGGGCGATGACAAATATCTTGTTTGTCGTCGTTCGCTTTAGCCTTGTTCGGGAAATGATACTCTGAAAGGAATTCGATTTTTAATTATGTAATATCATCAACTCTAGGTTGATTATGGCCACTACCTTGCACTGACGAGTGGCCAAATAGCCCGAAATCGGTCTGCAAGCGTGTTCCAATAATTCAAAATGATTCACTTCCGTGGAGAATACCGCACTGACAGATATAATACAACGCCCTTCGTGGTATTAGCCTGGGGAGTAGGTGTCAGCCTATTAACCTACAGTGTAGGTGAGTAGAGACTGGCCTGAACGAATTATTCTTTTAGATAATTTGTTGTACGAGACAATTTCATGCCCACTTTCAAACTATATCACCGTAACAGTTTTTGTTTCAGAAATAGTTTAAGGAAATCTCATACAACTGCAGACACGATGTATATATTAGGAATCCCTGTTAAGATAACAGAACCACATTGAATTTTTATATTTATTTTTAGGCCGTAATTTTGGCAAATTTCAGTCTGATTTCGTACTCTATTCCTGAATTTTTTGCTCATAATTTTAGGCTCCTATTGCCCCCACTTGCCGATTTTCTATGTGTTGTTTTTTTTTAATCAGCGGGTTCTGCTAGTTTTACCGTTAGGCTGGCGGAACCAAATCGAAACATTTAGGAGTTATAGCAAAATTAAAACTATCGCGCGACAAAATTCAAGCGGTCTGACAACCAGATGCAACACTTGTGATGAAAAAACGTTTCAATTGCGTTGGTTTTGTTTTAAGAAGTGAATAATTCTAAAGGATAAGGTTACATTTTTGTTTTGTGTAGGTGTAATCACCCATTTCAAAACATACTTTTATTTTAGTGAATTTATCGAAGGTCACCATTATCGGTTACTCGCTATGACAAGAAAATGAAAGCATATATGTTTTGCCCATTTGAATGTCTAATAAACTTTTGGTGGATAACCCACTGGACGTCTTTTTTATGTCCATATAGTCGAAATTATGTTCCATATACATATTCACTGGAATTTAGTCGTTCACGATTTTGCTGCCTTTTTCTTTATCTGCACATTACTATATTGTGGAGTTATTAGAATAGTATCGACGAGAATATCTTTTGAGTGGAAAAAATCTCTTAACGCAATTATAGATTTGACCCTAACCAAAGTTAAATCAATAATACAATTATGTTTTCCAGATTTCCAGTTCAGTGAAGTGCACCAAACAGAGAATATATTATGCCGAGTTTGTCGAGAGACGAAAGTAAGTGGACTTCGATCTACTACTAGATTGATTTATATATCTACAGGGCGAGTCGTAATTTAACCGAAAACTGCGAAAATTGAATGTGATTTCATTCCAGAGAAAAATATACTTTTGCTTCTATCGTTTTATAATCTACCACCACGAAGTGTTTCGTTCAGTGTACGCTGTTTGTTTAAAAAAATAAGGTGAATTGTTTTCTCAAGAAATATTTACTGATTCATCAATTTCTATTTTGTCTCCTTCAAAATAGTCCTCGTCTTGTGTCAGGGTTTTTTCCAATCCTCGAAACAGTCCTGATATACGCTTTTTGGTATGTCCTTGAGCTCTCTCGAGTACTAAATCACAGTATTTCTGTATACAGTAGTTTCACTCAGCGTCGGTCCCTTTGATGTCGGTGTCCAGGAGTTTCATTTTTTATAATGATGACGTATTTGACACTAATGACAATCTCAACCAAAGCGTGTATACACTGCTCAACATAACAACTATTCATATAAACTGCTCAAAAAAAAAACAGTCTATGAAAACTATGTTGGGCACCTGAGAAAATTGTACAAATGATAATTTTACACAAATCAGCCTTTATGAAATTACTGTATACAAAATACTGTGACTGAATACTGAACAACGCAGCGATTTCAAACTTGAAACATATGCTTTATACGGTGTCGTCAACCTAAAAATCTAAAGTCAGTAAAATCAATCGTGAAAAGTCGCTAGATATCGGTAGATTTGAAAATAGAAATGTAAACAGACATCAATTGCAAAAAAACAAATTCATTGCATAAAGACATTAATAAAAAACGTTCAAAAATAAAACAATTCAAGTCAGATATGGCAAGTAGGTACCAAATCTAATTTTCACTTGATGAAGATGAAGTATAAAAATTTTGCTTGTTCGTATAAGACATTATTTTTTTATTTTATTCTCTTCGGTTCATTACCTTTTCACTACTTAACGAACTAGACGTGTATAATTAAGGAATAAAAGGACAAAAATATAATTTCCTAATCCGTCGAAATATATTTATACTATCTGAATATGGTATTCCCATAGTGACATACATATACTTTCAGTGCTTTCCCGGTGCAGAAAGTTTAGGGGATTCCAGTAAGGGGAGGCTGATGCTCTATTGATATTGATTTCTAAAAGTGCGGTTTTATGCAATTTGTGTAGGATAGGGTTGGCATCATTGACTTCATAGATCGTGTACACCATATAGTTCACAGAACTATAGTTCTGTGAACTTATAGTTCTGTGGTGTACACACACAAACAACTACCGCCATCTCAAGGACGGGCCGGTTACATCTGGGACAACCATGGTTTCCAAATTTAATTTCAAAATATTTATTTTTCTATAATTTCAATAAGTCTTCAACTCTGTTTGTTGCTAAAGGTTCATACAGTCAGGTTAGGTATTTTTTGATGCTAATCATTGACATATTCTTTGTTTCTCTATGAGAATACTATTTATTTACTATTTTTACTATTCAACAAATGAAATAAATATCATTAACAAGTGTTGTACTTCAAGGATCAGTCATTAGCCCTCTGCCTCTCAGTATATTTGCCCTTGAATTAATTCCTAGCCAATGTTGTTATATACAAGATATTGATATCGCGTTAACTTTCTAACACAGTATTCTTGCATTCAACAGCATCAGCAGCGCAGAAATACGTTGACAGATTGCTTGCAGAAGGAAGCGAAGTGAGCTGCGATGAAACAAACGCGAACTTCTTCGGAAACAACGAACTGCCGCCTTTTTACGACGAGGAACTTTTCAAAAGGTAAGGAAAAGAGATTGAAATAATGCCCGACACTTCGAATCAATCCATCGTCGACATTTTTAGGGGTCAGAGAGTCTTCGATAAACACATATTCGCGATGATGTTCGCCAAAATTCAAGGCCTGCTGGCGGTTCTCTTAATTCCCACCATTCGGAGAATGTTGGTTTTCACGAAAATGTCCGGAAGTGACCTAATGGCCTACAAGAGGTATTTGGCCACCACTTTTCATATGGTGGTATGGTATCAGAATGACTTCAAACCAGGATCCAAGTGAGTGCCAATTATTATATCATCAAACAAATTTTATATAACGAAAGCTGTTCAAATACTGATGGTAAAGCTAATGTACTTTGCGACCAAACGACCCCAATGGAGACTTTATATCGTTTGTGAAAAGTTTAGGGCTGGTTGTTAAGTAATCTGGCAAACTCTCCATCTTGGTCAGGAGTGCCTTCTAGCTCGTTTATAAATCTGAGTAAGATCGGTGATCATTGCCAAAGCCTCTGCTTTTCGATCTTAATTATGATGTGATGTGGGCAGATTCTTTCCACATTCTTCTCTTGCATTTTACAATCTCTATTCATACTTTCCACAATATTTTCTTTTCCTTCCAGTCTATTAGAAAAGTAAAGCAGTTTAATTTAGAACAGCATTTCTCCCAATTTTTTTTCAGATTGTGGAATTCCATATCAGAAGTGAGGAACATGCACAATTCAGCAAGCAAAAGAGGTTGCGAGGCTAATATTAGTAGGATATCCCAAAAAGACATGGCTCTGACTCAGTTCGGCTTCATGGGCTTCGCCCTAGCGAGAGCTGAAAAAGTTGGAATTTATGGAGTCACAGAAGAAGAATGGGCCGGCTTCCTGCATGTTTGGAGGGTTGTCGGATATTTGATGGGAATGGAAGACAGGTAGAGATACAGAAATTTATTTGACTCATACGAAGATGTAATTTTACAAAGACGATCTACATACCCCGGAGAATATCATGCAATTGAATTTTCAATGTTGTTTTCTTCCAGGTTCAACCTATGTACCGGTTCTGTGAAGGAAACCAAGGAAATCTGCAATATCCTCATGGATCAAGTATTTCGTCCAGAAATCAAGAATAAAGACCAGGATTTCTTGTCTATGTCGCGCTATCTATTGAGAGGGATGTGGGCTTTAAATCCCGCCATAGGAGTAGACTGTTTTTTGATTTACCTCTACGCACTGATTCAGAACGATAATGTGAATTTCTTTCCTGTTTTGGAATATCAAAAATTGGGTTCCGCCCAAAAATTTCATTTACACTTTTTACAGCTCAGCATGTTTCTGTTACAATTCGATGGTTTTAGAATTTTTGAGAAGTATGTGATGTATCTGTCTCTGTGGCTGATGAAAGTATTTCCTTTCTTGGCTTTTTATATGTTTGGTAGATCTAATTCGTACGTGAAAATAAAATGTTGAAAATGTAACACGTTATATGTTACAATAATACCTAGATAAAACATTGTAGTATTCTTCCCTCCAGAATAAATATTTTTTTAGAACAATGACTTCTTCTTGCTAGTTCTATATCCTCGATACTCAATTATCACAGTGCCTCATTGAGCAATATCTTTTGTATATTACAATAGATAGATATAACAAAAAATATTTGAAAGATTATGACGACTTTGACACTCATGTTAATAATCAAAGTTTGCCTAGAGTTTGACATTGGAATTATCAAATCTAGATGTCTCTCTGCAGTGTTCCGTGACAAAAACAGTGTTGCCACACGTTTGTAAGCATACGTCTATATTTGAATCAACTAACTTTGGTTTGAATTTTTGTATTCTCAATATTTTTTTGTTGGCAATAGCAAATCTAACCTCATTTTACACGAAATTCAAATGGTGAAAAAATGAAAATATCGCCCAATCATACTTTTTGAATGAACATTCAAAAAGTCTTCAGGCACATTCACCGGTACCAGTTTATAATGAGTACTAGAAAGTGTTACCTCAGAAATCTATCCACAAACCACAAAATCAACCTACTTCATGAACAGCCAAAAATGATTGGTCGTAACCTAGACACCCTCGTCGAAGATCTACTGGTGTCCAGAGAGCAGCTGAAATGTACGGCCAATACCGAATCCTGTGAACTAAGCATCACTCCTGTAGGCAGAGCTATCTCGGGCTTAGATGGATATGCTGTCACGAAAAACAGAACTTACAATATAGGCCACGGGCACAGGCTTGAGCTGCGATTAGGTAAGCTCTATTAGACAACTAACGGGAAGTCTGAATCTCTCACCAACAAACATTGTCAACCACGTTCGAACAAGTGCTTTTCATGAAATGGTTCAGTTATTCATGAAACAAAAATCTGGAAAATGATACTAGGTTTGAGAAATACATTTGGGCTTGAAAAATCAATCAGAAGTGTTGAATTCTTGGGAATATACTTAGTCCCTCATTTTAACTGGGATTAATATATTGACTCCTTATGTATAAAAAATTAGGCAGTAAATATTTGATATCAAATACATTACATTGTTCTTAAATACAGTAATCAAGTACATCAACGAAAACTTGTTTCAAAGATGTCTAGAGTAGATCATGCACATGAGTTTCTTTCAGATACAAATTGGTTAGAAATATCCGTCCAAAACAACTACTTGCTAATATATGAACATTCAATAACTTTTCTCATTCAGGAAAAAACCAAGTACATTTTATTACAAATAACGCAGAATATATTTAATATTTTCAGATATCAATTTCCTTTTTTATTTTATGTTGTTTTTAACTACTGCTATTGCCTGATTCAGTTTAAACTGTTATGCCTGTAAAATTTGACCTGTCCCAATAACTTGTTAGTTCTTTCATAAATAACTAAGTGTCTGTCCTATTCTAGGTTTCCATCAGTTTGAGGTGGTATTCGAACCGCATCCTGGGCAAGAAAACGAAGAAGTGAAAAACAAGGAAAGTGAAAACGAAATCCCTGCCAAAAAACGGAAGATGGACTTTCCAATATTTGGAACTGAAAAGGAAGTCGAGAACAAACTATCTTTCACTGACAAAGGGAATTGGGAAAGCATCGATAACAAGGAATTGCTCATATTTACCCCTGAAAACATGGAAGGGCGCTCCAAAATTGCAGCTTTCGATATCGACGGCACCATAATAAAAACCAAATCTGGAGCCAGGTTTCCAAAAAACAGTTCTGACTGGGAACTGAACATGTCAGAGATCCCTCAAAGACTGAGAAATCTGCAGGCGGAAGGTTTCAAACTTGTTTTCTTCACGAACCAATCAGGGGTAGGTAAAGAATTGTCGAAAATATCAGATTTCAAGTGGAAAATCGAGAATGTTATCAAGAAATTAGCTGTTCCAATTCAGGTCTTTATAGCTCTGGGAAGAAGCATGTACAGAAAGCCCCTTCTTGGCATGTGGAACGTACTGAAGGGCAATAAAAATGGCGGTGTTGATATTGATTTAAACGAATCGTTCTACGTAGGCGATGCTGCAGGCAGGCAGAAGAACTGGGCCCCCAAGCGCCCCAAGGACCATTCGCTAGCCGACAGACTGTTTGCTATGAATGCAGGTTTGAAATTCTACACCCCCGAGGAATATTTCCTAAAAGCAAAGCCTGTTTCCTTCTCCATGCCGGAGTTTGACCCAAGGAACTTACCTGCCGAGAAATATCCTGAGGTTGATTTTGAAAGTCCGAATGTGATAGTTATGGTAGGGGGCCCCGGCTCAGGAAAGAGCCACTTCAGCAAGTCGGTCTTGGTTCCCAAGGGGTACGTCCACATCAACAGAGATAATCTGGGTTCTTGGCAAAAGTGTGTTAAGATTCTACAAGAAAATATAGACCAAGGACGCAGTTGCGTTGTCGACAACACCAATCCCGACAAGGAATCGCGAGTGCGTTATATTGAAATAGCAAAAAAGGCGAAAGTTCCTTGTCGTTGCTTTGTCATGTCTACGAATTTCCAACAAACCAAGCATAATAATAGATTCAGAGAACTGACGGATAAATCGCACGTTCCAGTTAATGAAATAATCATCAACGGCTTCAAGAAGAAGTTTGAAGAGCCTGATGTATCCGAAGGGTTTGAGGAGATCATCAAAGTTCCTTTCGTTCCCGAGTTCCAAAACACGGAACATGAGAAGCTGTACAGAATGTTTCTTTTAGAAAAGTAAACTTTTATATTTTTTATTGTTTTTATGGAAAATCCTAATGTTTGGGCTTTTTATTTTTTGATTTTTTGTTATACTTGATTTTTGAATAAATTTTTGATAATAAAAAGTAGTTGAAAGTATCGATTGCAAAATGAGTAAACACTATCTTTGAGGGTACCTTGTTAAATCTTCCTAGAATGTATAATATTCCATTACTTATGTAAATTTTTTTTATAGAGCCATATTTTATTCAAAAACGGAACTAATAGCCGCAGTAGTCGTGTAGAAGATTTCAAAAATCATAACAGAGGGAATGCGATTACTATTATCAGTATTTTTAAAGAAAATTTCTGTACAAGTTTCGCCACCTTGTATTGAATATTTGAACTAATATCTCTGGGTAGTATTCGAAAATCATTTCAAAAAGTTTTCTGAAATGTTGTATCTACTATTTGTAAGATGGCACTTCATCAACAAGGCAGCCATTTCATTGTCTATAGATTTATCCTTAGACAATGGCCATTTTATGACCATTTCAAAAATTGTATTGAATAAAAGGTGATCTACTGGCTAATGTCATTCTGAACTTTCTAGAAAAAAAAAAGATTTTCAATAATAATAGGTCTACTCAATTCTGTCACATTAACACCTTCCCGGAAAAATAGCCATGAATTCCTTCCAGAAAAACCTCTAAAATCCGTGTTTAAAGTCGGATTTTAAAAAATTTTTTGGCCATTCTACGTCTTCGTAAATGATCAATAAAATCCTTATATAAAAATTTCCACCTGATGAATTGTGAAATGCAAACCTTTTCTGCCAATATCTTATTGCTTTCAAACTATTTCATATATATATACGAGAAAAAAAACAGAAAACAGAATTTCTAATTATTTCACATTTGTGTTTTAATAGAAAAATGTCCAATTTAATTTTGGACGCTCTGCGAAAATATTGGATTGTTTGACCAGAAAAGAAAGAAGATTCACTATGAATTTTTACAAAACAAAAATGAAAAAATATTTCATTGAAAATTGGCTAAAAAAACCGTCCAATAGAATTAGGAAAATCAGCTTCTGGTGAACATATTATTTTAGATTTATTCAATTCTCTCCGACCAAACTCGAACAACCTGAATTTCGTTACTGTTTGTCATTTTTGATTTTTATGCTCAATTTCTAATATTTTTTCAAGTTATTCCAATTTATGAATATGGCGACATCTCGTACAAAATAGTTGAACTACCACAGTTTTCTATTCTACTTAAAATAAGTTTCACCGTTAGCACTAGATGACGATACAAACACTTTTATCAGTACTTTTAATTTTATTTGGCAACATTTTCAGTTCGTGTGTTCAATGAATGCTCAGCTATCAATTGAATATTACAGTTCACGTATTTATGAAAATTTTTGTCACTAAAATTGTTATTTATTTAGAGGATTTTTCCATTATACGTGCGACATCTTACGGCAATAAGTTATAAGTTAGTAGGCCTGCCCTTATAGGTTTCTTCAACATGATAACCACTTCCAACTATAGTTTTGGCTTTTCGCCAATAGATGGCCCTACGCCAAATTTATGGTAAGTTATAAATACCTCAATATTTAGAGGTAATGATCGAATTATGTAAAAAAACACCATCACTTATATGAAAAACATTTATTCAAAAATAAAATAATACATCTTTCACCTTTTAGTTCGTTTTTTCCTTTCGATATATTCTGAAATGCATGTGGCTTTTCTATAACAATTTATTCATATAAAAACCTTGGATATGATAAATAGAACAGAGTGAAAACGGTTTCAGGTAAAAAATATGCCTGGAGTGCAAGCCAAGTCAGTCACGAGTAGTAAGTACATAGGAAAAACAATCAGATTGAAATGAATCAGGTTGAAGGATCATCATGAAAGATTTCACACATTGGGGCCTGAATTACAAAAAAAACGTTTGCTTGAGTAAATTCCAGTATTTCATAAATGTTGTGTTGGTAACATACACAAACAAATAAAGCAATTACAAAGTACTAGTTAGGTCGAATCTTTACTAAATGTCATATAATTAATACTTGCTTCGATGTCTTTTTAGAATAATTGGGAACATTCATCAGATTTTTTGTACACTTCCTAAATGATTCTCATTCCGTTTTTTCCTTCTTTTTCCTGAAAAAAGGTATTCGTTCCAATAAAGCTAGTAATATATTTCCAGGCAAGCGCTGATTTTTCTGGACGAGATCCTCTATAGCGGCAGCAACCTGAAAAAGAACAAAGAAAGTATTAATAAAATTCAATTGAAATTCTCACATGAAATGCTGAGTTAAAGGACTAGTCATAGTAGTCGCACGTTGAAGAGTAAGACCTCGTTAGTCCTTTGCTCCTCCAAGTCTCCTAAAGAATTCTAGGGGTTGGAGTTCGTTGCCGAAGTAGCAAGTTTGAAGTATGAAACAATTTCCAGGTCTGAAGTAAGAAAACTGTACCTTAGCTTGAAGTTCCTCCGGTGTTAAACTTCCATCGTACGGAATGGGTTTTCCGACGTGCGTAATCATTTTCACCGGAAAACCGCCGTATATTGGCGCGAGCGGTGCCTTGAAGCGGGCGTAAATCCGCAGGAAAAATCTCCTTCCAACGCTCACAGTGCGAAAAGACTCCCTCACGTTCTCAGTGAAGAAAGGAACGATAGGCTAAAAAAAAATCATCTTAGAATACCAGCTAACAAAATAACAGGGTTAGCAAAATCATGATTTGAAAAAACAATTAATAAAATGATGCATTTTAAATCATTTTTATTTCGATTGATTTTTGAATTCATTTTTTTTTTAGATGGTGACTATAGTTGTCTATCAAATTCATACGGATACAGAAGAGAGATATTACATACACATTAAAGAAACGATCCCAAAAAAGGTTAAAATTTGAGTTTATTATCATTGATTACCCCCAAACTAGGTCTGTTTTTTTAATCATCCCCTCTGCGTCCCTTGTTACTATTTGTATGATATTAATAGAGCAGCTGAATCATATCAAGTTTTTTTTGGAAACATTAAATGACAGGGATTTTATAAAGATTTTTACGCCATAATATTGTGGTATCATAGGCGATTAGAGTAAATTTTCCTTCTTTATCGATAGATGTTAAATCATTAATGTATAACAAGAAAAGATCCCAGTATTGAACCTTGTGGCCACTTTTTATTTCGACGTCTGATGAGGATAATGAAGTTTTCACAATCTCACTTCTTCCTTCGAGATAATTCTTGAACCATTAATGAGTGATTCCACGGATGCCATGATGATAAGAGTTTTTTTCGCAGTATTCCGTGATCTACACAGACAAAGGCTTTAGTGAAGTCACGGAACACTGTTGCTAATGAATCTTTTGTATTATTACGATTTAACTTGAAAATTTAAATAGTTTTATTGTAAAAAACACTTTACTTTTTCGGAATAATCAGTTGTGTTTGACAGTTTATTAGTTGCTGATTTTAATTTTTATGAAAATTAAGTGAAATTAACACATTAATTCAAATCGCGATTGATTCAAGCCAGGCCAACCCTGCGAAATAACATTATCGTATTCATTCAAAAAGTCATGAAAAAGCATAGGCCACGAGGCTAAGAACCGAACCCTGTAGCACCCCGAACACCAAACACGCACACTATCAATTGTCCTACTCACACATTTAGCTTCCAAAGCCACCTTAGCGAATCCCATTCTCTTTTTCCACATCAAATTGTAATGGTGGCTGAACTGGGCTTCGTAAACACCTCCGGGGCTGATAGCCAACAGTTCCCCTTGTTTCAGAATGTTCGAACATGTCTGGATGGTCCCTGGAATAGCGCCCATGCAGTCTGCGAGGATACTGAATCCTAAAAACGACACAAATCATCAGGAATGTCGGCGTTAGGTGCAAGTTGTTTCGGATATCATTGTATCTTATTTGCTGATAGACAACGATGCATTTCTATGGTTTCTTTTCTTGGCTGTCAGCGGTATCGACTACTTTGGTCATTAGCCTCGTGTTTTGGGTAAGAAATATTAATAACTCCCCCAAACACTTAGGCAGCATCATTGGTATTTGCAGTCCATCATGTAACGTTGCAGAGTAATCTCAAAACTATTTGCTTTCACGAAATATGGATACTCTTTTTCATTTTTTAAATATTTGCCCGCAGAGTTTTATATGGGACACCCTGTATATGCCAAATTTGAACTGGCAAAGTTCAGCAGTGTACAATTAATGCTTCCAAGCAAAACAAGACTGAAGGTTTTATATTTCTTACCATTTCAGATCAGCAAAGAAATATACTAAAGTATACCTTCCAAATACAATACTTCAGATATTTTCGAAAAAAAGGAAAGAGAACATAGGTCCAGCAAATAACACTTTTGTATATCAATTCATAACATAACCGTAGCAAAAATAAATCGAACAATCCAGGTCAATATAAAATTGAAGAAACAAAAAACTTGTGCTTCAATATTTCAGCTGAACTTGTTAAAAAGGTAGATCATCTATATAAAAAATTAATGTGTTGATGTTTGCGGTTTACCTGGTACCTTAAAAAGAAAGTGATCGACGACTGGATGTATAACTCTGTTCTTGTGGAATATTACTTTCGCTATAAAGTAATACAAATCAATGGGAATGGCTCCGTGGTAGTAAATTATTAAGGCAGGTCCTGTGTCGGGCAAATTCTCCAGGCCCCTCACTTCATAACCTGAAACAGAAGACACGACAGCTAACTTCTTGCCAAAGGAAAACTTTTGGTATTTATTTATTAGATGTGTTCACTTGTATTTTTGTATCGTTCTTCACCCCAACATTTATTAAATTTCGATTTTTGATCTCCAGTTATTTGTATTTACAACTAAAATCTTCAAAAAATATTTGAAATATTTTTTTTAATAATGATAATATTTATTGATTTCTTTAGGACATCCTAATATACATACATTATTTTANACAATATTTCCAGTTTAATTGCTGAGCAAGAACTGCATAGAATGTACAAACTCGACACTTTCAGATTATTCATTTTAGCCGAAAACCTACAGTTTGTAAAAAACTTGATAAAAGATTAGTTACCGTTTTTGCAGGCTTTGTTCAACCCATAGAAATCTACAGGGTGGTCGAGTGTACCAATTTAATCGAAATTAAACGACCTCATGCATTTATTTTTATGATATTTAGTATGTTATAAAAATATCCCTAGACTTTTCCGATGTGTGTATAATCAAAATGAGCATGAAGAGAAAAACGATTACCCACCATGAAACCTAAGTATTTGAATTCACTTATGAACCCTATTACATCACCTGCTATTTGTAATCTTATGTTGAGATTCTTGATGAGTGATAGCTTATAACCAGTTGATAAGATCATATATTTTGTTTTGGAGGTGTTGAGTTTTAATTTATTGCTAATTCATGTACTTGAAAACATTTCTTAGTTCATTATTCATTTGATCAGCTACTGTTTCTATATTATCTCCTGAAATTGAAAACAAAGTGTCGTCTGCAAAAAGGTTCATGAAATCACAACCATGGCTGGTATCTATATCATCCAGGTAGATTAAAAATAATATAGCTCCCAAAACACTCCCCTGAGGTACCCCGAAAACGACATCGCGAGATGATGACACTGAATCCTTTATTTTGGTTACCTGTTTGCGTTGTGATTAATAATCAGTCAGCCATAACAAAACAGTTTCCCTGATACCAATACTTTGCAGTTTATTTAGTAATATGTGGCGATCAATTGTCTCAAAAGCTCTTTTAAGATCTAAAAATACATATGTAATATGTAAAAGTCCCAGTACAGATCCTTGAAGCATTCCTCTTATAATAAATTTCGTAATCAATGATGAACATGTGACAATCTTGGCTGTACAAAATCAGAAGGCTGGTATTCTTCACTCATTGCGTCTACTCAAGGCCCATGATTTTAGAACCCAATGATCACTTATTCCACGGTTTGGGAAGTGAACAATAGTTGTTGATACCCGAGTGTATCAGAGCTTCGGGAGCGTCCAAAAACCGTGTTTTGGAGGTGCCTCAAGGAATGAAAAAACTGCTTCGACAAATGGTTTGAACGAATGCAAAATAAAGCCATTTTCGTTAAAACATGTTTGTTATTATTTGCTATTCCCGAAATATAAATGGTACTCCTCGTATGTGGAGTCGAATACATTGAGTGAAGATTGAAATGATTCTTCCAAGTGGATTATTAGTAGGATTTATTCGATTCGCCAACTCAGTAGACCTGCTTAGGTTGTAGAAGTAACGTACCATGCCAGATCCACCCGTGAGCATCCCATATGGCAGCAATGCATTTCCTAGAAGCTTCCCATTTGTCCCCGGTCTGCAAGGTCTCCTTGATATTTCGCCAATGCAGGGTTAATATGTACAAGACGAACGCGCTGAAGTAGAGCAAAAGGGCTATAAATGCTGGCAATAGGAAAGTTATCAACAGCGGAGCGAGGAACCATGTTATCCACAGCGAGTAGTCGATGTCGATGTAATGTACTGAAACAGAAGGAATATGATGATGGTAATAAAGAATGTATGGCTTCTCATTATATTGTGAGGAATAAAGAAATGTTTCCAATGAAAAAAAAAACATATAGTGGCAAAGAAAAGGAGACGTCTTAGGTCTACTGGTCAATTATTCCAGTTTTCTAGATAGAGTACTGGTCTCTATGAAAGTGCGAACGTAGGTTTTAACAAAATATCTCCTATGAAAATAAATTCAGAACGGTTTCCACGGTCAGCAATCTGCGGCGTTTTGGCTTCGACTTCGAAGCCATTTTCAAGAAGCTATGGCAACACTGAGGTCGCAATCCGTCTACTCCTCGGGTAGTAACACTCTTCAAGGTTTTGTGACCTGACGCCAGGGTCTCAATATGTCCCTCCCCAGATCTCACCCTCAAAGCGTGTCACTACCTGAGGAGTAGACAAATTGAGACTTCAGTGTAGTCACACTCTCTTGAAAATGGCTTCACAGTCGAACCAGAAACATCAAAATATATTCCAGAGAGGTGCATACGATTTGCCCAAGTTCTGGTAAACATACCAAACCCTTCCCTCCCTTGTAAAAGCGACGATTGTAGGGTCTGGCAGATACCCGGCGGAAAAACAACAACTAAGCCAGCTAACGCCGCGCAAAAAGCTGAACTAAAACCATCAGGCACGTGTGCAGCTTTGCAAGTTCGTCGCAAGTAAATTTTTATGGATAAAATTGAATTCACTTGGTCGGGAAGACCACCGACAGACCGGTTCCGGAGTACTTGTTCCTCGTCAGTGCTGGGTGGGTCATTTCAGATGGAGTGAACCGTCTAATTCCCACCCGGAATATGTTTATGGAATTGCTTCTGGATTTTGTCTACAGGTGGCGCAGTGGTACATCCTACAAAATCAACTGCAGGCAAAGCTCACGACTAGTTGGAATCAACTTTGTTCTGGATATTCAGACGGTTCACTCCGTCTAAAGCGACCAACCAGCATTGACGCCGGTTATCTGCTACACGTATCTACAAAATCGTGCAGAGTTCATCTTCCTTTCTTTGGAAGATTCCCACATTTTTTGTATGAAGATGAAGAAGTAAAACGCCAAGTTTGAAGACGATGCGTTGTCCAGTATTTGCTCAAAAACGCATTTGTTGATTAACAATTTTTTTTGCTACTAAATATGAATATTGAGGAAAGATTTTTTCAAATCATAATTTCTATTTCTTTTTGATATTCTGAAAAAAAACTTTTTTAAACCTAACCTAATCTTTTTTTTAATAAATTATTTATAACTTTTGCAATTTTTTCGAGCCCCTCTTGAAATTTCTACAAAAGTTGCTAAAGATCATTCCGAGCCCTGGATCATAATTTTTGGTGCCTTTGGACAAAAGTTCCAAAAAAAGGATCTTGTGATCCAGACTATAAGCAAAACAGAGCTGTTAGATTGCTGTGTAATTATTGCGAACGCCAGTGATACTGGTTTTCCTAGTCGGTCAGACAAATTTAAAAGTCTTTTTCTGAAAAACCAAACGACCTCAGCTAGTCAAATTAACAACTACTACCAGAATTAATGAGCGATTATGAAGTAATAAAATGCTTCTAATTGAACCAATAATATAGATGTAACCTGATAAAAAATATTAATTATACACACAGTATCCGTTTAAAAATTGTTTTTACTGAAATTTTTTAAAACCATTTTAATGAGTTTAACCGTGAAAGATGTCTGTTATTAGAGTGTAAGTAAACAAATATCGTTGGCAATGAGTTCAATTTGCCCATAATGAGTCTATCAATGGTTACTCTTCAATTAAAACCGACGCATATTCCAGAGATTTTCAATGTAGTAACAATTTAGGAGAGTACACAATCATTCCTCTACATAAAGGAGTCGATCTTAACCAGCTCATTTTAGGTCAATTGCTTTGTTACCCGTCTTGTCTAAAGTTATAGAAAAACTAGTAAAATAGTAAAAAAACGAGTTATATTCTTCCTCGAGAAAAACAATATAATAAATTTATTTCAGTTTGGCTTTCAGTCTTCAAAAAGTTCACAAGACGCCATATTTTCACTCCTGGAAAACCTGTACACCAATCTTAATGAAAGAGAATCTGCGGCGGCCATGTTTTGTGACCTAACCAAGGCCTTCGATTGTGTAGACCACATGCTACTTCTTTGCAAGCTAGAAGTTTACGGATTTAAAGGATCTGCATTACTTTGGTTTGAAACGTATTTTTGTCATCGACGGCAGAATGTTCTATTTAATGGGATTGAATCGAACGTTTCATTGGCAGTGGGGTCCCACAAGGTTCCATTTTGAGACCGGTGTTGTTTCTCATTTATGTCAATGACTTAGTCCACGTTGACGTAAGTGGTAAATTCACATGTTTCGCTGACGACACCACTATACTCTGGCATAGCAAGAGTGGTGTGATTCAAATCTTTTATCATCCAACATCGACAAAACAAACGTGGACTCTTCATCGATAGAGTTGTTGCAGGAGAATTAGACACTACTATTACAAGATCAATTTATTTTGCAGAAATCGAGTCCTATTTACGTTATGGAATTTGTTTCTGGGGAAATTGTGCAGAATTTCGTTTCAATATGGTATTATCTCTAAAAAAAATATCCATCAGATATTTATGCAAAGCTAGCTACAGGGATTCATGCCGCCCATTATTTGAAAGCAAAAAATCTGACCTTAGTATGTCTTTTTATTTCGGAAACAGCGTGTCTTATCCACAAAAAATATAAAAATCAATTCAATACCACCTCAACAACAACGTCAGTCTTACTTCATTTCCCTTCCAACACCCACTCTAGACCTTACACAAAATTCTATTATTTTCAATAGCAAGAAGTTATTTAATCACCTTCCCATTAATTTAAGGCAAATACATAATGAAAAGAAATTCAGAAAGTCAGTAAAAGAATTCCTTGTTGGGAGGTCCTATTATAGTGTGGCTCTAAGTAATTGACATGTTATGGAAATCAACAGGAAATGGCTATCAATGTTCATTACATAGGTAGCATTATATATATTTACATTTACTCAATATTCATGTACTTATATTTGTATCTGTTCAGCTGGGCTTAAATATTGTTCTGTACATATACTCTGCTCTTGTCTCTAAGCATTATTTTATGGTTTATATTTGTTAATTTAATGTCCCATATATACGTTTTACTTTACTAAACTTTGCCAATAAGATGTTCAGATCTTGGGTATAAAGCATATTTTGATTTGATTTACTTCTAAATTAGATGTATTCCAAAAATGTTACAGCAGTCGGACTGAGTAATGTCCGGTGAGAAGCCCCTCCCTCAAGATGTGCAGTAGATGTGTAGAAAACTGTAATCTGTCTGTTAGATTATTCGAGCCGTAGAATCCAAATTCAGGACCGTATTCAGTAAGTGATGGAGTTTAAAAGTAAATTGCATAAACATATTTTGAATAGTCAAACTCGTGAAGTTGAAGTTAAGTTGTAATATATTTTACGCAGTTACGATTTCTCCCACCGGCCATGACTCGATCCAGTAGCTGTAAACAGGTTGTACGGCAGCCGTCAATGTTTAAATTCGTCATTTGGGAGCTTGGAAAAATCCAATATTCTTTAGCTAAACAGTTGTAACAGAGTATCCTACTTTCTGAAAATAGGTCGTTTCAAAAGTTTATGTCATGTGTGTTTGTAGCTCAATAATCACCGTCCGAAAATTACCATCTTTTCAAGTACTAAGATATCCGGTCTTCGTCACCTTCGTCGAATCCGGAGCACGCAATGTTTATGCTGACGGAATTATTCGACTTGTGTTACGTTAAGAGGTGGGACTTTTTTTGAAAATTTCCTTTTTGAATTTGTTTACAACTTTTGAAATTTGGTATGCGTTAAAAAACGGTTTTAGTTAATTTTTTGGGTATCATTTCGAATCGAATGGGCCATCACACGTATTTTTCTAACCATTATCTTTATTTTTCACCATTTTCAACTTGTTAACCGTCAATGATTAGGACTTTATGTCAAAAGTATTTGTAGAATGACTTCACGAAACCCTTTTTCTGAGTGAAAATAACTTTACAACTTCTTAAATGTTTGTGTAGCTACGACAAAAAAAAATCGAAATTCAGTTGTATTATAAAACACGAATATTTACCCAAGACGAGTCCAAATATCACAAGAACCGAATTCGAGAAGTACATTGCAATATCATACAGACTGACGAAAACCTTCTGTTAATAAACCGACAGCGGTAATACAAGTAGACAAAAAATTATGTTTATGAAAGCACTTTTACCGAGCAAATTATTTGAAATTACGTCTGAGTCACTGATAATGCGGAATCCATGTTCAGATCGACCTGGATGTGGGGGATTTTTCGAACAAAATTGGCGACATGGAACACATACAGGGTGCCGACTGAATATTTTCCGCCTTTAATAACTTATTCCCAGGAAATAATTTATAATGGTAGCTTAACGAAATATTTCTAGGACACGTGGTTCAACTGCAACATATTAAATTAACATTTAGGCTTGAGAAAGGTGTTGTCCGCGCATTGGGTGCCGCGTTTGCTCACGTTGGACCAAAAACGTGTTCGAATTAACATTTCCAACGCTCTGTTGCCTCAGTTAAGGCGCAATAAATCCGAGTCTTGGCGCCGATTAGTTACTGTAGTGAAACTTGGATACACCATTACACACCCGAAACAAAAATACAGGCCAAAGAGTGGACTGGAAAAGGAGAACCGCCTCCTAAAAAAACAAAAACTGTTTTTTCGATTGGGAAAGTCGTGGCGACTGTTTTTTGGGATAGTCAAGAAGTTAGTTTAATCGATTATCGAAAACCATCAAAGGAGCATACTACGCATCATTACTTAACAAGCTGAAGGCAGAACTTTTGGAAAAACGGACAGATTTGCAGAAAAGAAAATCCTGTTTCACCAAGGCAAAGCACCGTCTCAGACCTCAAAGATTGCCATGGCGAAAATCCACGAATTACGGTTTCAACTGCTTGGCCATCCGCCTTACTCATCAGATCTGGCCCCAAGCGACTTTTTTTGTTCCCTCGTCTAAAAATTGCGCTCGGAGGACAAAGATGTTCGTCAAATGAAGAGGCAATCACCTTTGTGAACAATATAATTCTGCAGAGAATAAGGTCGAGTACTATTTGGATGGGTTACAGAAATGGGAGCATCGCTGGGAGAAGCGTGTACAGTTTAAATGAGGCTGTATTGAAAATTTAAAAAAATAAAAATAAATGTCTAGTGTCTTTGTTAAGTCGTAGGACTTAACGAATGAGACTTAGAGGGTCTAATTTCAAGTTTTTCCAAAAAGTAGGACAAAACTTTTTGCAACGAAATAATGGCCTTTTTAGGCCCGGGAATTTTAAGCCCAAGTGTTACTATAAAAATATCTATCAGCATTATTTGGTTTTTCAAATATTTACACAACGATGCTGAATAATTGTGAAGAGTGGTATCTAAGCCGGATATCGTCAATTTTTGGTGAAGATTTTTAGTCCATTCGTCATTTTCGTAAAAATCGAAAAAAAAAGTAAAGAGAAAAAAATTCGCATCAAAATTCAAAACGACCTCGAAGTTAAATGTATCAGGTTAATATTGACGAATTTTCAATAATAGCAATCAAGTTTTAAATTAAATAACTAGGTTGACATAAAAAACTACTTATTGCGAATTTATTTACAGAAATTATTGCCCCTTGTAGGAACAGTAACAAAACAAAAAATTGAAATTAAAATTTGAAAGTACGTGGTACTTCTAGAAATAAAAAAATAAGTACCTATTAACTGAATGTTGAAATTCAAGTTTCGAAAAATCGAAAAAATCTTTATGAACATTAAACCAGATTCGTTGCGAATGCAAATATCAACAAATACAGAAAACAAGCATTCAAAATCGGAGTCTTGTTTGTTTTATTGATTGCCGAAACTAGATTTTTTGTTCAAGGTGACTTGTGATCAGGATTCTTTCAAAACACAGACCTTTCGCAACATATTCTTTGATATGTGAATGGAACCGATAATAATAATAATAAAAAAGGTTCATTCACAGTAAACAACATATAAGTACATACAAAAATTTTCGTTTAAAAAAACAATGTTTCATTAAATGGAGAACACGAAAAAAACACAGAAGTAGCTGTAAAAGCTACTTGTGTATGTGTATATGAAAATGAAAATGCATAACATTTCCAAGAAACCCTTTATTGTAAGATTTTTTCTACATAGTTTTACAAAAACGAAACACGTGTTTCGCTATACAATAGATTGATTGAAAAAAAAAATTAAATTGTAGGAGATCTGACATTACCAGTGATTGAACAATGACTGTAAGAAACTGCTGTGAAGTTGGTGGGACATAAAACATTTCGAATTATTCATCTCTTTCATTTTGTCAAGTGAGGAAGTTTTGTTGAAAAAATATCAATTTTTCGCCACAAATTTCTAGTCGAGTACATTGGTTATCCCTTCCAAACAAGTTTTTATTGTTTTTCAATAAAAACTTTATATTTTAAAAGGCACTGCCTCAAATGTTCAGTTTGACATTATATACATAAATTTTCAGAACCACTTTTGTATTAATTCAACATCTAAACTGAACTTGAATAAATCATTTGATACAGTTTTTTCATCAAAATATTCCATCAAAAGTAAAAGTAACTAATATAAAGGACGTTATTTTTCCATTTCCCGATACCTAAATTCAAATTATCTAAGAACCTAGTTTCATAAACACAAAGCAGAATTATGCAAGATATATTCATTTATAACAGGATGTTTTTTTTATAAAAAAGCTACATATTTCTTTGTTTCTGATTTTCAATTGTAGCATAATTCCAGCACTACGCAACTGATGATGCATGTGATATTTTTAATTCCAGAGACAAAAGAAAGCATTATTCAAATAGAAAAAATAAAAAGTATAATATGTGAAATACACTCACCTACATAATCTTTCACAAGTTCGGTGAAACCTTCAAAATATTCAAACATATTTGAATCACTAAAACATACTGAGCAGTCTACAATCTACAAAATAAACGGGCACATTTAGTGATATTCTATCATCCTCGTTCACGAATATAAATACATAATTTCGAATGAAGTATATGCAAAAAGCATTTCACATGACCTGGCCTACATGTTATCAAGCGTGGCGTTTGTCATTAGTAGCGGATGCGCTAAGGTAGCTTCGAAGGCGAATTATCTAATTATCCACATTTCCGCGTGTTATTCATAGTACCTAATTACGGTAAATATATTTAAAAATTATCTATATTCAATAACAAACTCCCACCACAAAAGTGACATAAAGGGATATGACGAGTCATATTTTGACACGGAACAAGTAGTCAGCACAGAAATTGGAATAGACGAGTTCTGAAATTCAACAGAAAATTTCTGATGGATTGGCTCAACCAACGGAAATGCACTAGTTTCGGATGTACCAATAGATGTACCATAAGATCCATCGTTGGACTCCTCGATGAATATAAGAAGTAAGAAGGGTGAGTAGGCTCTAACTGCTGGCCACCATTGGCCAGGCTGTCAGAGGGCGCTGGAGAGCGAGAGGTCAAGACGACAGCACAGATGTTTCTTTGTGGTTTATACTATATTTTGTGGTGAAATGTATTTCATTTTATCACCATTGACCAAATCTTAGTAATAAAAAGAAACAATTGAGAAAATGATGAATGATATATTTTATACTTCTGAAACCAGTCTTTGTATACTCTGTGTAGAAGATAAAGAAACCCAGCACGAAAAAATGGAAACCTTGGGAGGAACAAAATTGGTTCTATTAGGTGCGTATTAAATGAAGTATTGAAATTGAGGAAGTTGCAATTGGTTACAAAGGTATTCAAAAAGAACTGAATTTAGACATTTTTTCCTGACATTATTTAAGAAGATATTGAAAGACAAAACATTTTTTCTTGTGTTAGGAATCACACGTTGAAAGGTAAGACCTCGTTAGTCCTTAGCTTGCATAAGTTTCTCAACTTCTGAGAGTTGTCGTTCGTATGGGGGCGACAGCTGATTAACGGAAAAACAGATTTTAAATAGATTTTCTTGCCGCTTTTCAAGCTGTGCAAGATAGCGTTCACAGATTTACAATCCAACCTTTCGTTCTTGAGAAACCATTACCAATTTTAATTTTCATATCAGCCGAAATAAATAATCACTAGCTATAAAGTTAGCCTTCGTGTTGGCATCTTCACTCTTCAATCAATGATAACGTAAAATAACTGATTTTTTAAGATTATAAAAAACACTAAGATCTTCTTCAGTCTTCGATAACAATTGTAAAGTGAGATTAGATTCTAAATGTATATGGTTTTTCCTACCTCTTCCTTCCTACCATTCACCACAAATGAAAAAATAATATATGTGCTCTATATCAATTATTCAGAAAACATGTCATTCAGAATTATCATTATAATTATTGAATAATATTGGGATTTTTCCCATAAACTGGCAGTTTATTCTTCCTCTTGAAGATGATCACTTGGTGATCGAAACACGTATCGAGGTGTTGAAAATAACGATTTGGTGTTGGGAAAAAACTCCAGTTATATTCATTACTACAGTGCATCATAATCATCATTATTGTTAAAAAATCATAATTATGCACCGTATATGCACCGTGATATAATTACTCAACAAAGTATTGGTATTTCTTTTCTAGTTGTTGGCAACATCTCATTTCTTAAAATTATGATACCTGCACTGTTTAAAATGCCAAAATTTGGAAGAGTATAAGACAGATGACAGTTTATTCATCTTTTGTGAGGGTTGTACAAGTTTTTGGTGATATATTGAGTTTCATCATTGTGTTGTACTCGATAATTGTGACATATATAAAAGAATAACTAGTTTGGGTGAGTAATTCATGAAATAGACTATTTAGAGGCGCTAACGGTGCATCCATTAACGAAGCCTGACCTTTATGCATGCAGTTTTTGTCGATTTAATGGGCACTTTACTTTTTTGTTCCAATGTCCTAATTATAGGTGAAACGGCCATCAATACTTTCATGCACCCTACAAGACAAAATTACTAACGATTTCCCGATTTACTCATAGGAAAGGAAGTTCTTTTGTCCTTTCTATTCGACTTTGTCCTCGGTTTGTAAAAAAACTTTCTATGCTGTGAATATTTTGTATTTGTTTTGTTCTTATGGGAGCTGTTTGTTTTTGAGTATTCAAAAGGACTGTAATTATCAAGGTGGGCTAGATTTCTATGTTTAAAGATTTGTAATCAATATAAATATGGTTCTTTTGAGGAATATAAAACTCGAGTTTTTATCTATTTAGTTTGCATTGTATGGTTGAAAACCAGCTGATTTTGACTTCCAACTGAAGTGTTGCTTGGATAGATCAATTTTTATTAAATAATGAATGTATGAACCTTACATCACCTTTAGTAGTTTCACATCAAATTCTGTACCTTTGTAATGATGTCAAAATTTCCTTTCTACAATTGAAAGTTTTCATTATAATAAATTTTACAGGACAATTACTAAAAAAAAATTTGCTTCCAAAAAGCTTCCTGAACAGTGAGACAATTAAAAGCATTTCTTTGTTCAATCGCTTGAACTTTTGGTTTCCCAAAACTCAACTTCCGCTACAGCCTCAACTTTGTAATTATTACAATATATATATCTATTGTTACATATTTTGATTTTGGTTCCATGTGGTATATCCTAAAATATATCTATTAGAAAACTTCCTGTGACTTTTTACTGAGAGAAGGCATATGCTTGTTTGTTGCTACACACTTTTTATTGATCGATTTATTTTGCACCCCCAACATATGCTATTAATCTGTCATGATTTCCTTTCCGATGCACCTCTAGTAGTTATTTGAAAATACTTTTCTTAACCATTTAAACGAAATGCAAGATCGTAATTTAATCATCCTACGGAATAAATTTACTGCATGATATTGCACTTGCAGATAACAGAATGACGTTAACAGGTTTCAATTGCTTGCTTGATATTGTAGCACCAAAGGCATTATTGACAAGTCATTTTTGTTCTTCAAGTTTGGTAAAAGACATCAATTTTCATTTTGTTCAATACATACCGTTTATGTACCAGATGATCGGTTGGTAAGAAACATTCATAATTTTTGAACAGATGAAGCCATTTTTCTTTACTTTGAATAAAAATTTATTAGTGGAAACTCTGCTTACAAATTCGTCATGTACCTACATTTTTCGATGCTATTTTTTTATGCAAACTGATCATACTACTATGATTGTCATTTAATTTCAATGGAGTATATATGTATCGGCAAGGAATAGGTGGAACCCTTGTTAAGGTACCTAAACCACTCCGAGTTTTCATATTTATTTTTAGGCTTATTATCTATTCTATTCCATAATTTTTACTCTTTGTTTAACTCAGATATCGAGGGTTCTACGATATATTTTATATATGAGTGAAACCTGGATATTTTGAAAAGGCATCCTGAAAAGAATTTGGCAAGATGATAACGTAAAACCAAGTCTGCAGTTGTGACTGCAAGAATAAAGGTGGCACTACATACTGGCAGAAACTAGGATTTCCTACACTCTGCCATTAATACAGACACATTCTCAGTAAAATCTATGAGAAATTAATCTTCACCGGTTCAAAAATTATGAATCTAAGTAGTATATCATTGGAGTTTTTGTGGTGGTATCTACTGACTACTTTTAGTTTGTCAAATGTATACCAGCTTGATTGTTGGAACTTCTATCAATGATGTCTTGTTAGCTTAGCATCTCACAGCTTCGATATATGTTTTCGAAAAGTGTAATAATCGATGATTTGATGTCATAGAAGTAAATGGTGTCATGGTGAATACCCGCAGGAAGGAGTCGGTAGGCTCTTCTCAGAGCCCCAGTCCAAAACATCGAACCAGGGTATGTTATCTCTGTCCCTTAGAAAATATGTTTTCGTTTTAGATATCAGTTGAAGGTTTGACTATAAGGTCATTGTAAAATATCGATGAAACTTGATGAACTTTAATGTTCAGTTTTGGCCCCGAAATTGTGTCTTGTGGTTCTACGAAAGTGATTCTTTCGAATCAATTGTAAAAGAAACAAGACTGTAGGACGTCAGGAATGTTGAAATTCCAATTTTTTTACAAGAGTGGATGCCCTTATTTTAAAGCTTCAAATCGCCACACGTTCCAAAATATTGGTTTTTACTTATTATTTTTAAATTTACGTTTTGTTCATACTTTTGATAGTTATACCATTGATTTTATATACCTTTTGAGAATCGTCTCTCATTAAAAACACCATTGTCAGTAACTTTCAAAGATTGTTAACTTTAACAATGTTACATTGTATTTTTATCGGCCTTTTTGGTGGTTTTCATTTTCTACAATTTGAAAAAATCTAATGGAGAACTTTACTGAAAAGATAAGACATACTGAAAATAGATATGCAGTTAGAACTTCTTACAAAACAAAAAAAAATGCATTGAGATCTGTACTCACACATACAAAACCCAACAATACAGAATCAAAGTCGTCAAAACTAGGGCCTACTTTGAAGCTAAATACAAAAGGTACCATATACATTGACTAATAAAATCAAAGTTTAAAAAAAAAAAAAAAATCTATTCTATTCCAAACGGCTTGTTAGAAACTTTGATACCCGTCTTGAAGAAATATTTAGATAGTAGCGAAATTGCAACAGACTAATATCAGAGTCAACAACATTTCACATTTCAAAGCTCTTTTGACATCCTTCGAGAAAGTTTGAAAATAAAATAAACCAAAGTTATGCAGTTACATTACATATTTTTTAAATTCTGAAGACAGATGCAATTTGTGTATTCGAAACGTTAGGATAAGTATCTGTATAATTTATTGGTTCTTTTTTATTTTATAAACAAAATTATTAAATACAACAAGGTACTGAAGAATAGAACATTTTCCTTTGTAAAAAACACTTGGAATTTGCGCAGTAACTGTATACAGTTTCATAAACTACACCTTACGATTTGATCTCTTATCACAATTTTTATTTAGATTCTGAAAGGTAAAAAACGACAAAAAAATCGATAAAAAACTGACTCTCTCCGCAAAAAAGACTTTCATTCAATGTTAACATTGCACTAATTTGAAAAATTCCGGTTTTTTTTCCGCACGTCGTTTTGCATTTACCTGTAAATCGAAAAACTACGATTGATTGATTCGGCCTTTACTTACGATTTGATCTCCACTTACTTTATTTACACGCTTTATATTAGCTTCACCTGTATGTACGTATGTATGTATGTTTGTTTGTAACTCTCAAGCTCGGGATCTG